GAATATAGTTTACCAAAGCTAACCCAGGAAGAAACACATAAATTGAACAAATTGATCACAAGCATGGAAAGTAAAACAGAAAAAAAAAAAAACCTTCTAAAAAAAAAAGCCAAGGACCAGATGATTTTACAAATTAATTTTACCAAAAATTTTAGGGAGAATTATGCCCACCTTGCTCAAATTGTATTTAAATATACAAGAAGGAGAAATGCTCCCTAGTATATTTTAGGATGCCAACATTACCATAATACTGAAACCAGACAAAAACAGCCCAAGAAAAAGAAAATTATAGACCAGTATCCCTAACGAACATGGATGCAAAAATTTTCAACAAAATATCAGCCAAACTTGGAAAAATTAACATTAGCAAAATGGCCATCCTACCAAAAGCAATATACAGATTCAATGCTATTCCAATTAAAATTTCAACGTCATTCTTCAAAGAAATAGAAAAAAAGATTGATGAAATTCATATGGAGCCACCAAAAACCCCTAACAGCCAAAAACCCTCCTGAAAAAAAAAAAAGAAGGGAATGGAGGCATCACTTTCCCAGATTTCAAACTATACTACAAAGCCATAATCTTCAAGATTGCATGGTATTGGTACCAGAATAGGCACACGGACAAATGGAACTGAATAGAAAACCCAGAAATAAACCCACAGATTTATGGTCAACTAATCTTTGACAAAGGAGCAAAGAATATGCATTGGAGCAAAGAAAGTTTGTTCAATAAATGGTGCTGGGAAAACCGGGTCACTACATGCAAAAGAATGAAACTTGACTACTACCTCACCCCATGCACAAAAACCAACTCAAAATGGATTAAAGAACTAGACATAAGACCTGAAACCATAAAATATATAGAAGGAAATACAGGCAAAACACTACATGACATGCACCTCAAAGTCATCTTTACAGACACATCACCCAAAGCAGTGATAGTGAAGGCAAAGATAAACAGCTGGGACAACATCAAATTAAAGAGCTTCTGCACAGCAAAAGAGACAGTAACCAAAACAAAGAGAAACCCCACCAACTGGGAGAAAATGTTTGCACCCAACACTAACAATAAAGGACTGATTACAAAAATCTACAAAAAGCAGATGAGACTCAACAAAAACCAAGTAAATAATCCAGTCAAAATATGGGCAGAAGAGCTAAAAAGAAACTTCTCCAAAGAGGAAACACAAATGGCCAACAGGCATTTGAAAAAATGTTCAACATCACTTGCAATCAGGGAAATGTAAATCAAAACTACAATGAGATACCATCTCACACCAGTGAAAATGGCACATATTAAAAAAAACTAGCAACAACAAATGTTGGTGAGAATGTGGAGAAAAAGGAACTTTCCTACACTGCTGGTGGGAGTGAAAACTGGTTCAACCACTATGGAAAGCTGTGTGGATATTCCTCAACCCACTAAACATAGAGCTTCCATATGATCCAGGAATTCCACTCCTAGGTATTTACCCAAAGGACACAGAAATATCAATTCCAAAGAGCACCTGCACCCCTATGTTTATAGCAGCACTATTTACAATAGCTAAGCTTTGGAAACAACTCAAATGCCCAAAAATTGATGACTGTATCAAGAAGATGTGATACGTATACACCATGGAATATTACTCAGCATTCAAAAAAGATAATGCAATTTGCAGCAACATGGATGGAGCTGGAGGGGATCATGCTCAGTGAAAAAAGCCAGAAAGAAAAAGAAAAATACCAGAGGGTCTCACTCATAGTAGGAATCTAGAAAACCTAAATAAGGGACCAGGAAAAAGAATAACTATAAGAAAGAAAAAATCACAATCAACGAACAACTATGAACCAGGGACACACTATGGGGGGTGGAGGGTGGGGAAAGGAGGGATAGGGGTCAAAATAAGGGGGTTGCAATTGTATGGGGAATATAAAAATAAAATTTAAAAAAATTAAAAAAAATCAGCTAAACAAATGCAACAGTCTACCACCAGGGTTATACACCATGGTCAAGTGGGATTTATCCCAGGGATGCAAGGATGGTTTGATATACAATTAGTATAATACATTGTTGCGAGCCAGCAGCAGCAGTCTGGGTGTCAGGGGTTCCTGAAGGATGGGAAGGCATTGGCGAGATCAGGAGGAAAGGGGGAAGGGGAAATGAGGAGACGCAGACACTTGATCAGGGTTCTGACATCATCCTGCTGAGGGTCTCAGCAGTCCTTTATTTATACTAAGCAAATCGTGAGTACACAAGTATATGCATTAAGGTAGGAAGATAACAATCATCACATGTCTTTTCAAAAGCAGACAAAGGTCTGTTTGCCATCCTGCAGAGGTTATGACATATATTATTCTTTGTCTTAAAGAAGGCACAGTTGCTAAACAAATGTTTCCAAAATAGTTATTTACTTTAAACAACCCAACAGTTATTATGTTACTAGCAAAAAGCCTATGTGTCTGCAACTAACATTTCTAAGTTTACCAAGGTGAACGATTAACTATGGGCTGGAGGAAACAAAGGGCAGGAAGTTACCTGGGGGAAGGGAGACAAAGAGATTATTTTTTAACTAACCTATAATGTTTAGACTAACATATAACTAATTGATTAACGCAAAAAACAGAAGGCTTTTATATAGAAATCATCATTTATAGTATATTGTTTTAATATTGATTTGATATTAAGGAACCAAGGGCCTGGAGGGCGTTAATGCCAGCCAGGCAAGTTGCATTGGCTCTTCCCTAGCCCCCAGCTCTCAATCAAGGGAGGAAGTTTCCTAATCTAACAACAGAGTTTTCTACCTATCACTCCTCTACTTATCTAGTCAGCCTAGTTTCCATATTAAGATCAAGGGGCAATTTCCTCTTCCATAAGTTTGCTGGTTGTTGTTCTAAAGAACTACAAATATTTTAACAGGAGTAGGGGCGGAGATGGTTATAGCCTTTGATTCTCAAAAATGGTCAATATGTGATATATCAGTAGTTGTAACATTGACCATTTCTGAGTGCATTATTTGTGCTGCCGTGATTACTAGCTCAACCAGTCACAATATTGCTGTTGACTTATTCTTGAATGCATACTCTAATAGCTATCATACCAATTGTCACATCCAGGGGAGTTAGCCCTAAACAAACAGGAAGAATTTAGCAGGAGTCAACTATGGCGTCTCCTGGTTTATCAGGAATTTTCTTATACTTAGAGCATGGCTCACCTCTGCCACCCAACTGTTATCTATAACTTTAAAGTAGAAAAATTTCCTTCTTCAATTAGCTCTTGCCTCAAGAGATCACATCTCTATATCAAAGACTTGGCCGATAGATAGGTGTTTACAGCCTTTTGTTCCTAGAAGTTTTTTCACTTTGTTAATGTAAAGCCAAATGTTGAATTGCTGCCTTTTGGCAGAGAACCACTAATTGTATAAAAAATGTAATATTTGTATCATGCAGTGCCATTCGTCATCAAATTGGTTATTCAGTGATTGATCAGTATTTGCAGTATTACTTTTAAATGCATATTTTAGCAATGGTAGAAACTAGCCATAAACAAATGAGGAGAATCTTGGAGTCAGCTAACGAGATTCCTGATTTTTCAGAAATCTGCCCCATGCCCAGACTTTTGTCAGACGACATGAGTAGCGCGGCTCCCAATAATACATCATATAAAGAAAAGTAGAGATAGAATCATGATAATATCAGTAGATGCAGAGAAAGATTTGATAAGATTCAGCACCCATTTATGATGAAAATTCTAACCAAGATGAGATTAGAAGGGACTTATCTCAGTATAATAAAACCCTACATCACAAATCAGCAGCCAATATTGAAAATGAGAGTGAACTCAGGTGGATTACTTCCTGTCACAGGCTCACAAAATAGCTACTCCACTCAAACTCCCCCTTCCAAAACCTCCCCCAACCAACCTTAGGTAGGGGTTAAAAGCTCAACCTCCTTCCTTGCAGGGCCATCCACCACTCAGAGATTGTTTGTCCCTGCCCATTGTTACAGTTACTGGCAGGCTGTCCAGGGAGGTAGCAGTATAGTCACTACACCAATGTGTTCAGGAGGACTCACTAGGCAGATGAGCCAGTATGTCTGGCCTCACAGGACCTCTTCTAGTGGCATCTGCAATGTGACCCAATGATCTGTGGGGCAACTGAAGTGATCAGGGTGGCCAGTCCTCCTGAAGGCAGGAGCAGCAGCTTCAGCAGCAGCTGCTGCGCCTGCTCCAGGAGGTCCAGAAGTGGAGGCCTCTGGCCTCCCCAACTGACAACACATTTCTCTGGATTCCCAATGCATTAGCAATCTAGGTAGCTCAAAAAACGGTGTAAGGGATCTAATTCCTTAATCCCTGCACTCTCAAGACACTTTAAAAGAGACAGCAAGCTCAGAGCAGCCCAGCTTCCCTAGGGCTGCTGTCGAAATGCCTGACTGGGCAGCTGCTCCGGGGTCCCCCTTCCTCTAGAGCGGCAGTATAGGGACCCTCCATCTCCTGACTGAGCAGGCCCTGCCTGCAGAAAAGACTCCACGCCTTCATTCTCAATCTTCACCCTCCACGGGCAGGTGAGACCTGGGCAGGTGGACTCTCGCAGAGGATTGAGGAGGTGCTAGAGCACTGGGGCACAGCAGTCTGGAGCTCTTCTGCCTGATTGTATAGCTCCAGCCTCCTTGTTGCTGGTCCAGCTTGACTGGCTTCTCCTCCAGAATCTTGTAATACAAATTGCTCCTAATTTTCAGATTGAAGATATTTGTGGGAAATCAGAAAGACGAGTGAGTTTAGGGGATGATATTTTGAAGTCCTCAATTGTATCTATGACATATACCAAAGCAAACACAGCAAAATACCGATTTGTTATAGCAGAGTTGCAGGTACAGAAGGACCTTTGCATTAGGTAGAATGTGTGGAAGATGTTGCAGGAAAGCAGTTTAAACATTCAGTCAGGAAGACATAAGCTCAGGTGACAGGTGATTTGTTCACAATACCCACCCGACATTGGTATCGTGTCATCACGACGTGTCACAGAGGAGTGATGCAATAGAGGAATCCAAGGCATTTCAAGATTTGCGCACTCACAGTTTCCCCCTGGGAGGAGAAACACCAGTGAAGAGAAAAACAATACAACAAAAACCATTACGGACAGTGTCATGTTTTCCATCAAATAGAAAAGAGAAAGCGATTGGTATTCTTCCTTCTAACAGCTCTTTGTTACTCGGGAAAATGAGTGGAAGACCAAAGTCTAGAAGACGGGCCAGGTATTTTAGAGGTCGTGCTGAAGAAGGAAGTAGTAGTGCCAGCATGAATGTCATACACCCAGAGCCCAGGAACCCTGACTTCAGGGGGTATGTAACTTTGCAGAATGACTTGGTGAGATCGTACATTGTATATGTCATGTGTGTTGGTTATGTAGAAAATAACCCAATAAAAAAATCCCTCCATTTTGGAGAAAATCAATTCAAAAGCTCCTTTGTAGTTTTCTCTTCTTCACAGGATGCCCATGGCATGATGTCTTTCTATGTCAATAGTATTTAGATTACAGGAGACTGTGGATCAAAATTATGAAAGAGCAGGAAGACCTGCCTCTTGTGTGTCAAAAGACCAAAGCCCCTCATCTGTTCACTTTGTGCTACCTACTGGGAAAGGAAAAACTGGAAAGTAATGAAATAACCATCCCAATGGCAACAGAGAAGTTCTCTCACAGAAACAATTGTCAATAAAAACTAAAGGAGTACCACAAGTTTATCTTACAAGAAACATTTGAAATCACAATCAATGATAACAAATTTGCTGCAGAGCAGAGGAGAAAACAGAATCTGACAGCAAGCGATTGTATCAGAAAACTTACCCTTTATGGTTAATGTGTAAGTTTTCATTTAATTCAGTCTATCAGAAGGGCTCCTGCAGGGTAAATGGTTTGGTAAATGGTTTTCAGGTTTTTCTGCCCTTCCACCACTAGGATTGCCCTCCCTGCTGGGCACCTGCAGTTGTTACATTGTTGTGTTGTTTACTTTTAGGTGTGCATCTTCATGTAACAACATCTGTATTTACTTCATTAAGTTCACCACTGAAAGTTCAAATTTATCCTTTACTATAATGAACCACTTTAACCTGATTTATGTACCCACCTCTTCCCCTACCCTTCTTGTAACCATTAATTTGGTCTTACAGTCTAAAATTTTACATTTGTTTTATTTTGTTTCTTTGGTGACTCTAAGTCTAGTATACTCCTGTGGTATTTGATCTAACTCTAGAGCTATAGTGTTACAGGCCTAAGTGACAATAAAGCTCAGGAACTCATTGAAAGAGTAAATGTTGTATATTATTTGGGCAACAAAACAAAATTTAAAGAAATTACACATAACTAAATGTAAGTGAGTAAATATGTGAGTAAGTAGCTTCCAGACTAAAGGTCACTTTCTTAGCATTCTTAGGCATAAAACAGAACTGAGAGAAGAGAATTAAACCAAAGTCAAAATTGTTAAAATGAAGCTGGAACCACAGTGCCATTTCCTGGATAGTGATCTAATGCTTCTCCTTGGTTGTCTACAATGAATGAATGATCCGTCTTTATTTGGTTTTTCATATAATTAAAATAAAAATGTTTAGTTTCCTGATGGAGTACTGTGTTTTGAAGTTCCTAGCTTTCTGTCCTAGCTTGCTCACTTGATCAGTCTACCTGATCTAACTTTTTTCTCGTTTGTTTTTTTAAGAGACTTGGGTATGATAAGACTGTATCTGTAACCACTTTGTAAAACTGTGGCAAAATCTACTGAGTCTTGTGATCCACAACTTCTCTTTTGGGAATACACCTAAAGGACACACATATGGATGGTCATCATAAACCACATAAAAGAATGTTCAAGCAGTATCATAAGACTATACCACATTGTTTAATATAGTCTGTGATGTTCACCAACATTAGAATGGATGCCCATATGCGTATCACACAGCACACTATTGTAATGGAATGATGAGCTGCAGCCATATTGTATGGACATAAGGAGGACTCAAATACATAGGCTGAGCAAAGGGCCACAAACATGGACCATATATAAGCAGCTATAGGCCAAGCAGGCCTAGAAAGAGGTGACAGAGCTCAAGAGAGGTGACCTTTTCCAGGTGGGAAGTATAGGGTCTGATGGGGGCAAAAGGGACTGTTGAGTGGCTACGGCAACTCTACTCTTCAGGGTGGGTTACATGAATATCTTTACTCTATGAAGGCCCATTGAGTGGTACAATTTTGTTTTATGCCCTGTGTGTATGTTATACTGCAATAAAAAGTGGGAAAAAAGATTACAATTACTTTAAATCGCTTTATCAGACAGTTAACTTATAGTTTTTCAGCTTAATACTTAATTTCCACAAAATCAGACTCAGCTTCATTTTAGCTCATTCCATATCCAGAACTCTCATGTAAACTTTCTCCTCATTTATAGACATAATAAAACACATACATAAGACATACAAAACAGAGCATGACAGTGATGTTTGTAAAGTGAGGGATAAGTATATATGTATGTATAAATATATATGTATAAATAAATAGGGCCTCCGCTGGTGGTGCAGCAGTTGAGCGCTGGGGTGTGAAGCTGCCCTCAGCCTCTGCAGCGCCTGTTCGATCCCCGGCCGCCAGCAAGGATCCCACATGGCACAACAAACCTCTCCTGCCACGCCCACTGCTCCCCTCAGCAGTGTATTTCATCAGTCTGCTTGTTCTGTTCCCTGCTCTGGCTCTGGTGAATTCTCTCACCCTCCCGCGCTTCTGACTGTACCCAGTGCTTGTATAAATAAATAAATAAATGTTAAAAGAAAAATAAATAAATATATGCCAGCTTAGAAACTATTTTCTGTCAATTTAAGAGAAATAGATGGGGAATTAAATTAATTCACAGACTCAATTTAGAATAACCAAGCTTGTTTACTTGTTTTAAATCAAAGGTTAATGAAGATATATTGATAAAATTTTGTGTTTCAATTTTTCTTAGGTTAACTCGATCGTGGAAGACTATCCTAAGTGTGGTGTGTACACTGACTTTTCTTCTTATAGGCAAGTGACTAAGTCTTGATCCTTATACAGCCAACTTACATGGCATGCCTATTTGTTAACAGACCTCAATGGAATGATTTACATTTGTAAGAAAAAAGCCAGAGAAACCACTGGAAGTGATCACGCATTCTTGAAGCATTCTTTTTTTTTCTTTTATTTATGATTGTAAAATGAATACAAACTACTGGAGAGTACAAAGTGCTTTTTTCCTTTTAAAATCTTGGTTTAACAACCCAAATGCCCAAAAATAGATGACTGGATCAAGAAGATATGGTACATATACACAAAGGAATATTATTCAGCAATCAAGAAAGATAAACTCATGCCATTTGCAGCAACATGGATGGAGCTTGAAGGAATTATGCTCAGTGAAATAAGCCAGAAGTAAAAAGAAAAATATTGATGGTTTCACTTATAACAGTAATATAGGGGAACCAAATAAGACATCAGTATAAAAAAATAATAACAGTACAAAACACAACAAAGCAAAAACAGACAATTATAAACCAGAGACATACTGCAGGGAATGAGGAGGGAGAGGGATCAGAGGTAGGGAGGGAGGAGCACAGGGGACTGTGGTGATGGTGCATGGGTGCCTTGGGGAAGGAAATTCTATGGGGACTCAATCGGAGGGGGTGGGGGGAAGCAAATATTGTCTAAAAAAATTAAAAAATGATAAATTAAAAAAATAAAAAAAGAACCTTGGTCTAAAATCACAAAAATTGCTTTAAAAATTAAGAATCCTTAGTATTTTTTATTACAAACACATACATTTGACATTTCTAAATCTGGATGATTGAAATTGGGAATCTGACAACTAAAGACTTGCTCATCACAGATTCTTAAAGAAATGACTGTGAATGTGCAGTTTGCATTTTTCTAACTGTGAAGATTATAATGTTCAGGAAAACTGCTCTGTAATATATGGAACACTTGAAGCATAGAGTGCCCATTAAAATCAAGGTTTCAACCTACTAACTGCTGTGATCTTTGGTAAAATGACAGTATTCAGGGTGCTCGTGTATTCTGGACCTCTGCTATCTTGTACCAACCTGAGCTCAGCTCCACTTTCCATTAGCTGCAACTTAGTGCCCCAGGGATCTCAGCAAATCTCTAGAATAGACCCCAAATAATCCAGTTTCTACTGAATATGGCACACTGCCTGGCTTTGCCACCTCTGGGCTTTCTTAATTTTTCCTTTGTACAACAGAATACTTTGATATTTGTATACATTGAGAAATGATCAACACAATAAGTCTAGTTACCCTCCATCACCACACAATAAGTCTAGTTACCCTCCATCACCACACAAGTTCTCATCTTGTAATGAGAACTTTTAAAATTAACTCTCTTAGTACAGGGACTGTGGTCATGGGTCACAAGTACTATGGTGGTGGGAGAACCATGGGAAGTACACCCAAGGGAAGAAATCAAATACTATCCAAAAATTAACAAAGATTTATATAAGAAACTATTTTTTTAAAAAGTCATAATATGGAAACTGTGTACAAAATAAAATGTGATCCCCAATGTCAAAATAAATACACAGTAAGTCTTCTTTTTAAAAAAAATTAAGATTCTCTTAGCAACTTTCAAATACCCAATGTCACATTATTAACTATAGTCTCTATGATGTGCATTACATCCCCAGGCCTTATTTATCTTATAACTGGAAGATTGTGTCTCTTGAGCACCTTCATTCATTTATTCTACCCCCCACCCCCACCCCAAATGCCTCTGGCCACCACCAATCTGTTCTCTGTATCTATAACTTTGGTTTTTGTTGTTATTTTGCTTTGTTTTGTTTAAATTCAACATATAGGTGAGATGGTTTGGTATCATTTATCATGAAGTACTGGAGATCCTTCCATGTTGTCATGAATGTCAAGATTTTACTGTTTTTAATGACTGAAAAAAAATACTCCATTATGTCTATGTATATATATTTATTACATATATTTATATATGTGTACATATATACTTCACATTTTCTTTATCCATTCATCCGTTAAGCCAATTGATACTAAGGTTGCTTTCATATCTTGGCTATCAGAAATAAAGCTGCAATGAACTTGGGGGTGCATATATCTTTTCATGTTAAGTTTTCATTTTCAATAATAGTTCTATTTTTAACTTACTAGGTACCTCCTTACTGTTTCCCACAGTGGTTATACCAATTTACATTTCCACCAGCAGTGCATAAGAGTTCCCTTTTCTGTACAATCTTGTTAGTATTTGTTATTTCCTATCTTTATATATATATATATTTTTTTTTAAGATTTATTTATTTATTTATACAAGCACTGGGTACAGTCAGAAGCGCGGGAGGGTGAGAGAATTCACCAGAGCCAGAGCGGGGAACAGAACAAGCAGACTGATGAAATACACTGCTGAGGGGAGCAGCGGGCGAGATAGGAGAGGTCTGTCATGCCATGTGGGACCCTCGAGGGTGGCCAGGGATCAAACTGGTGCTGCAAAGGCTGGGGGCAGCTTCGCAGCCCAGCGCTCAACCCCTGCGCCACCGGGAAGGCCCCTATCTTTTTCATAATTGCCATTTTAATAGGTGTGACAACTCAATGTGGTTTTGATTTGCATTTCCCTGATGACAAGTAAATTTGAGCATCTTTTCATGATCCTGTTGGTCATCTGTATTTCTACTTTGGAAAAATATGCATTTGGATAACTGTGCTCAATTTTAAATTGGATTGTTTGGGTTTTTTTGTTTGTTTGTTTTTGTGTTTTTTGCTTTGTTTTTGCTAAGTTTATGAGTTCTTTAGTATTTTTAATATTTTAGTCTATCAATAGGTTTATTTATTCAGTACTGTTTCATTTTGCTGATGGTTACCTTTGCTGCAGAACATTTTTAGTTTGATACAGCAAGTCCCATTTGTTTATTTTCACTTTTGTTTTCTAATTCAAAGTATCATCAAGGCTGATATCAAGGAGCTCTCCAACTATGCTTTCTTTTAGAAGTCTCATTTTGAGTGAAATTTTGTTAAATCCATTGAGTTAATTTTTGTATATGGTCTAAAATACTGATTGAGTATAATTCTTTCCTATGTGGCTATCTAGTTTTTCCAATACCATTTATTGAAGAGACAGTCTTTTCTCCATTGTATATTCTCAATTCCTTTGTCATAGAATAATTGATCATGTGTGTGTGATTCAATTTCTGAGTTCTCTATTCTGTTTGATTTATCTATGTGTCTATTTGTATGCCAATACATACTGTTTTGATTTTTTGCATTTCTGTACACTAATAACCATCAGAAAGAGAAATTAAGAAAACAATCCTGTGTATAATTTCAACAAAGTGAACAAAATAATTAGGTATAAATTTAACCAAGGTGAAAGACTTGTGTACTGAAAATTCTAAGACATTAATGAAAGAAATTGAGTAAGACACAAATGGAAAGATAGTTTGTGCTCATGGACTGAAAGAATCAATATTTTCAAAATGTCTGTACTACCCCAAATAATCTACAGATTCAGAGCAACTATTATTAAAACTCTGGGCTGTTTACATTTACCTCTGCTGACCTCAAGTCATTACCCGCAGCTGCTCCCTCCACCCCCATCTTGCTGCTTTGATTACATTACAGAGCTTGAATAATCTTGATACTTTCAGTTATTGTAAGCTATGGCTGTTTCAATGAAGAACTAATTTTTTGAACACTGTACAGTCATTTTCCATATTATCACTCATAGATCTGATTTTGTTTTTAACAGTGTATATTTCCCATGCTTAGAGAACTTTCTATTAGTACATGTAAAATATCTTTTAAGTGTTCCAGTTAAATTCATTTTTCAGAATTTGTCTTTTCTTTAACAGGATTGAGAAATCACACGCAGCTTAAAGAAACAGAATTTCCTCAGAATACCAGACATTTTTATGCTCTAATTGCAGACTATGCCTCAAGGCTTTACAATTACCAGGTGATGTTTTGTTAAATAATTTTGTCTGTCACTCACTTAAAAATTTAATATGCTACAAGGTGAGTCCAATGTACTATATATTGTCTTTGTTTTACATGAGAATATCTAATAGAAATAATGTAGGAACCAGTATTCTATTAGTTGGTCTTATAGATAAGAGACCCTAAAATCTCCATAGCCTCTAATTCTGCAGGCTTCTGCTACAGAGTGAGTGTTTGTGAGCCTGGTACCCTTTTCATCTTCCAAGTTTCTCCTTTTTGGAATGGGAGTGTCTATTCTATGCCTGTCCCACCACTGTATATTAGAAGCGCCAACTTGTTTGCACTCAGTTTCATGATTAGAGGGATTGTTTCAAGACAAATTGTACCTTGAGTTCAGCAACATCTGATTTCATCCAAATGTGATATTTGGATGACACTTTGGATTTAAGACTTTTGAGTTTATGCTCAAATAAGTTAAGGTTTTGGGAATTATTAGGATGGGATGACTATATTTTGCATGCAAGAAAGGCATGAATTTTGGGAAGCCAGGGGAAGAATGTAATATACTGAATGTTTATAACTCCCACACCTAAATTCATAGGTTGAAACTTAATCCTCACTGTGATGAAATTTGGAGGTGGGGCTTTTGGGAGGAGATTGAGTCATATGGTGAGTCCCTCATAATTGGAATTAGTATCCTTAGAAAAGGTGCATCAGAAAGCAGTTTCACCTCTTCTGACATGTAAGTACATCAGTGTGAAGATCTTATGAATCAAGAAGCAGGTCCTTACCAGATACTGAATCTATTCAGGACCTTGATCTTGGGCTCCCAGCCTCCAAAACTGTGAGAAATTTCTGTTGTCTATATAAACTATTCAATCTGTAGTATTTTGTTATATGACCACAAATGGACGAAGTCTCCCAGCACATGGAAAAATGGCAAATAGAACTCTATTGTTGACCACTGCCTAATGATCTGGATGGGATGAATTCATCTTTGTCCTGAAGCTAGTTAGATCTAAATGGACTTAGTCTGGGGCTGACACTCTCTCTGGTCCACCCCACTGCTTTCTCCAGTACTCTAGCCTGTCTTATATACCTTAGGCTCTGGTATCCAAAGAGGAATGATAGGAATCATAGTCAGGATAACTACAGTTTCATGGGAAGAAGGGACAGCCCAGAAGACTTTACTCAGTCAGTGACGTTGGGCCTGACTCATGCAATTTTCTCAGGCTTCTGAAGTCCTCTGCTTCCCAGCTCATCTAGTAACTACTGAATTCCATGGGTCCTCCAATTATTGCCCATTTTTAATCAACCCTCATGTGATGGCTGATTCTATGGATCAACTTGGCTAGCCTATGGTGCCCAGTTATTTGGTGAAACACTGGTCCAGATGTTGCTTTGAAGGTATTTTTTATATGTAACTAAATCAGTAGACATTGAGTAAAGCAGATCACCCTCCATAATGTGATGGCCCTCATCCAATCAGTCCAAGGTCTTAAGAGAAAAAGACTGATGTCTCTGAGGAGAAAGAAATTCTGCCTCAAGTGGCCTTCAGACTTGAGTTGCAACATTAACTACTTGAGTCTCTAGACTGCCAGCCTGCTCTGCAGATTTTAGACTTGCCAATCTTAAAATCACATGAGTCATTTCCTTAAAATAAATCTATGATATATATGCATACACATCCTATTAGCTCTGTGTCTCAGGGCAACCTTGGATAATATACATTAGTTGAATCTTAGTGGTTTGATAATGCTTTTCAAAAAGGAAGATAGATTTACCTTTCCCATCTCTCACCATGGAAAAGAAGTAATAACTGCCCCAGAAGTGATCCCAAGCATATTAAATATATATTTCATGTAATCCTCAAAATGATCCTTTAATAGGAGCTTTACTAAATCCACTTACAGGTTAAGAAGCTGGATCAGAATGAATAAGGGAATGAATATGTGTCCCTGAGGCTGTAATTCTGGAGGTAAAATTCAAACACACACTTTGCTGATTGTACCTTCCTGTCTGAATGATTTGCTGCTGTACGCTAAGATACAGTTTTAATTGCCCTATTCTGTACAACCTAAGTGACTATGATCACTGTCAGAAAGAATTTAAGACTAATGATTACAAATGACTTGCTCCATTTAATTGGTTTGAATCTAAAACCATATTGAAGCAACAAGCTTTTTTATTTTAAATCCAGATAACATTTCCATGATCACTGTGGTAAAGGTGACCTCCCAAAAGCTATGTCCACAGACTGTGATGTGTATTTAGTAAAAACAGGGATCTAGAGATGAAATCATCGAATTTCATGGATGGGCCCTTAATCCAATGACAAGAGTCCTTATGAGAGACCCAGATGAATATGAAGGCCAAGATGGGAGTGATGTGATCACAAAAAAAAGGAATGCCACAAACTACCAGGAGCTGGAAGAAACAAGAAATAATCTCAGTCTCATGTCACCTTCGTTTCAGGCTTCTGACCTAGTACTTTGGGGTATATATTTCCATTGCTTTATATTACTGGGTTTGCAGCTGTTCATAAAAAAGCCTGGAACTCACATGGCAGGTTGGAGTTTGGAGCAGAGAGGAGCATCCCCTATGTTGACCTCCTCACTGATCTCTCCAGGATCACACTGCATGAATCCCCTAACAGCAGCTGGCGTAGAAAGGGAATGACTATTTACAAGGACAGTCCAAGGGCCCGGCAATGTCCAAATGTGTTCCCCCACCCCTCTTTTCCCCTTCTTCTCCCTTCCCCTCTCTTTACATCTTTTCCTTTCCTCCTCCTTCCTCCCCACCCACTTTCCCCTCCCCCTTTGACACCCTCTACTTCTTTCCCCTTCCTCTTCACATGCTGCCTGCTGGCTTCCACCTCCACTTTGGTTTGCCAATTCCATGCATTCTTCCCCTTTTGCCTCCTTTTTCTGTGTCCTCAGAAGGTATTTAGCACTTCCACAGTCTTGACAAATAGGGGATTGTATATCCATCTTTAAGCTCCAATACAATGCCACTCATCCTCAACACCCATCACCCATTGAGACTGAAAAAGCTGTAGGTATCTTAGAGGACTCTCGAGTGTCCCACCCATCATCCTTGTGCATCAAGGTAGCATTATTATTTCTTTCCCTTTTATGAGTAAGAAAAATAACTGTACTTGAATAGGTCGGAGTCAGAATGATTAGTTTTCTGCTTTGTTTCTTTGCAGATAAAACTTCGAACACCCAAAGTACAACTGGAACTTTTAAAGTGAGTGAGATTTTTTGATACATACAACATTGTGGTGTGATTCCAAATATGGAAATGTTTTATGATTCTATAAATCTAAAATCATTTCTACTTCTATGAGTCATCCTAAAAAAAATCCCACAGACTAGGCAGTCTATATTTCAATGTTATTTAAATAAATAATGAAAAAATAAATGAGAAAAATAGGCCACTCTAAGTACATTAGAGTAGATCCATGTAATAGAGAACTATAAAGCCACTAACACAATTCTAAAGCATTTCAAATGATTTCGGAAGTGCAGTGGGATATAACATTTTGAATGCAGGGAGTCCAACAAGAGTGAAGATGGCTGGCTCACCTATTCCACATACTCATGACAAAATTGCAACAAAAGAAAATAATCCCTAAATATAAGCAAATGATTTGCCACTTAGGAGAAGTGGCACAGTGGTAAGGGGTAAGGAAAACTGTAATTGAACTCTGTTTAGAGCAATTCAGCGCAGACAGCCCAAGAGGGGGAGGGGCAGCTAGTGTATGGACCCCTCAGCTGTTGTAAATTCAAGGCAACATACACCTGTAACCGGGGCCACAGTGGTTACATGCACTGTGGTGAGCTTGAACCCTTGATGTTCCCTGGAAATGATCTCTGACTATCCTACTGCCCTGGTCCCTTCCTATTACCCCTTGCTGGCACCAGTGTGTCAGCCATTTGACTAGATGCAAAGGCTAGGTTTATGAAATAGACACCTGAAGATCCTAGATTAAAAAAAAACCCTAGGATTATATGCAGTTTCCATGCCAAGACTGGCATTTTCCCGCTGTCACCTAAGTAGGTATTGTTGGAAAAATGTGGTGGTTTTCCCCACCCACACCAAAAATTTTTGCCTATGGGCAGCCCCTCCCTTGAGCACCAGCCAAGTTAAATAATCCAATCTGGTAGGTATCAACTAGGGTGAGGACCCTGAAAGAGTATATAAGGCAGCACGGGAAAGGAGCATCCAGCAGTCAATCTCTGAAGAGAGAAGCCAAAGAGCTTTGCGGCAACGGGGTGACTGCACCTGCCTTCAGTCCACCACCTGAAAGGGGCACCAAAGGCCTTGGTCTTGGTGTCTCAAAGAGTTGTTACTATTGGTGTGGCCAGTGACTCACAAAAAGTAGTATCTGTTCATCCAGCACCGCCTTTCAGTGTCGCTGTCTCCATTGCTATTTTGTCCAGCATCTGGTGCTTTTCATCCCAACCTTCAGATTGTTGCTCTGGGTTGCTATGGTGTCATCTCAGTGGCCCTAACTGTCAGTGCCTCCAGCTGTGGTGAGTGGATCCTAGCCCACTGCTTTCTGGTTGTCACAATCTCTAGGCCCTTGTTGGCAGGATGGCACCATCTTGGATGAGCAGTCTTATGTGTGGGACTTCTGAACACTGTAGATACTATTTGGGATAAGATAGCCGGCCACCTGTGGCCTTAGAACTCTTTGTTTCCTGTTTGTTAAATAAACCCCATCATTATTTTTCCCTGAGCCTGAGTGGTCTTGCAATTGTGCACACATGTGACCTGTCCTCTATTGGGCACTATCCTTGGAAGGCTATAGCCCTGTTTCACAGCTACATCAAGGACTTTTTAAATCAGGCACTAAACTGGAGAAAGGGTACAGAGTCTGCATGAGGACAAGGGTGCACCACTGGATAATTATAGGAGTAAGGGTGCAAAGTGGCTATTACCGGCTGTGGCTGAGACACTCAAATTAGAATCATAAGAATACCTCAAAACAGTTAGAATAGTTCAAATCAGTTTCCCTGTATCCTCATAGAAGAGGATATCATTTGCTACCTGAGGCTGTGCTATGCATAAAGTCTGCCTTAATCCACCCAGGGCCAAAACCAAAAAAATAGCTAAATATTCTCACTAAACAGAACTTAAGCACCTGGATCTGAATAACAGGAGCAAGCCCAACGGGGTGAGGCCTCATACTCTGTAAAAAGAACAATTTCTAGCTTGTGGTCTGTCTCCACTATAGTCCTCATCCAGTGCTGCATCTAGTGTTCAACCACAGCTTAAAGGTTGAGGCTGACACAAGACTGCATGAGATGCTTTGACTAAGAACTTGGCCCCGGGGAGGGGATCATTGTGGATCCTTACCGCATCCCTAGGGTACCCATAGCACTGTAGTGAGCTTGAACCCTTGATGCTCACTAGGAATGATCTCTGACTACCCTACTCTCCTGGTCTCTGCCTATCACCCCTTCCTGGTACCAGTGCATCAGCCATTTGAACAGTTGCAAAGGCTAGATTTATGAACTAGATACCTGAAGATCCTGGGGGAAGAAAAACAAACCTAGGATTATATGCAGTTTCCCAGAAGGAGGTGGTCAAACCAATTAATTAATATTTAAAAAAGAAACTCCTGACAATCCATAAAAATTAAAAATGAAGAGACAGAAGAAAATATGCTGAAGCAAAAAAAAAAAAAAAAAAAAAGAAGAAGAAGAAGAAAGAAAGAAAAAAAAAGAAAAGAGAAACTAAAAGCCTCAGTCCAGTGGAATTTTGGAATAAGTCTGTTGAATTTAAGGTAACAGTCATAACCATGCTTGTCAGTTTAAGAAAAATGATGAATGATCAAAACCGGTAACACAGTAAGGTCTGAGAAAATATGAGATTGTTACAACTAGAACTAATGGATCCTAAAAATGCCATAGCCAGGGGCTCCCTGGTGGCGCAGTATGTTGAGCACCACACTGTGGGGCTGTCCGCAGCCTCTGCAGCACGGGTTCGATCCCAGCCGGCTGGCGAGAGTCCCACTTGGCATAGCAGACCTCTCCTTCTCGCCCACTGCTCCCCTCAGCAGTGCATTTCAGTCAGTCTGCCTATTCTGTTCCCCACCCTGTCTCTGGTGAATCCTCTCACCCCCCACACCTCTGGCCTGTACTCCAGTTCTTTTATGCATGAATAAATATTTAAAAAATAAAAATTAAAAAAATAAATTAGTAATAGGGCCTCCCCTGGTGGCACTGGCAGTTGAGCGCAGCGCTGTGAAGCAGCCTGCAGCTTCTGCAGTGCATGTTCTATCCCCCCCCCGCTGGCTGGCGAGAATCCCACATGACATGGCAGACCTCTCCTGTCTCACCCACTGCTCCCCTGCTCCACTTCTCCCAGCAGTGTATTTCATCAGTCTGCCGGTTCTGTTTCCCACTCTGTCTCTGGTGAATCCTTTCACCCTCCCATGCATCTGGCCTGTACCCCAGTTCTTGTATAAAAATAAATAAATCTTTTAAAAAAAATGCCATAACCAAACTATAAAATACAATAGAGGACCTCAGCAGTAGACAAATGCAAGTCATGGAGAGAATCAGTGAGTTTGAAAACATGGTGGTGGAGAACACACAAGTATAACAAATATTATACGACAGAGAATTTTAAAAATTATAGCTGTTTTATCTCTAATTTGTTATTCATTTTTGCATAGAAGAAAAACAAGCACACTGTGATTTAGCAGTGCTTGTTACAGGGAACATGGCATGGCTCAGGCTCTTTTTCACCTCCTTCCACCAGCCTCTGCGGCTTCCACCTGTGGCTTTGCTTTCCTCTTAGGTTTCGTTGCCCATATGTGATAACACATTCTTGCAAAAAGTACTTGGGAGCATGAGCATAAGCATGGGGCATGCATGCCTGTGATTATGGACACCTAGGCCAAGAAGACGGAGAACATGGGCACATGTACCTGTAAGTGTGGATGCCCAAGCGAAGATCATTATGAGGGAGATTGTTAGGAAAGAGAAGAGAAGCCAGAGAATAACCATGGAGAGAGTGCGGTGGTGAAGGTGGCTGGGAGGTTATGTTGCTGTTTCCCAGCCCCCCAGCCTGCTGGTCTGCCTGTATATGCTCCCCTGCTTGAGCATTAAAGACCTGTCAAATCTATCAAGGGCTCCAAGATCCTCTGCCCGAATCAACCTTGAACCTGCCCACGCTGCACCTGGTTTTTCCCAACACTTATTTTTTCAAAATTTTTACAAATTTTGAATGTGTTATTTTATAGATAGGGGGAAAAACACTAGTAAGTAGTGAAATTAGAGCCTCTCCACTTTCAGCAGTGGGTGATGGGAATTTTGCCATCCACCACAGTAGCCCCATTGGGGTTCAGGCATTCCTGACCTCAGAAGAGACTGACTCTATCAGACTCAGAGACTCTCACTCTTGAAAGGAATGCGGTTTCTGGTCTCTGAAGGAAAAAGAAAAAAAGAGCATCCAGCAGCCAACATCCAAAGAAAGAAGTTGAATAGCTTTACAGAGACATGGGGCTACTTCAGCTGCCTCTGGCCCTGCCTCTGACATCACCTGAAAGTGTTAGGGGGAAAGGATGTCCTGAGCAAACTCAATACAGGCTTTGTGGACTCCACCCCCACTCCATCAAGACACAGGGAACTACAAATCCCATGATGACCAAAGGGAAGGTTGTTCGGACCTGAGGGCAGAGTTCAGCAACTGGATTCTCAGTTTGAATATTTAACTGGCTATGTGGCCAGGAGTCGCTCTCTTGGCCATGCAGCATGCTTTGCTTTTTGTCAGCTCGGTGGGTCATTGGGATTCCAGGTCAGCGGAACGGGTAGGACGCATTTACAAACTTATCTCCCGCTCTTTCTCCCTGAGTTATTCATTTCTTCATTTCCCCTTCCCTTGTAAACCTTTTACCAACCTTTTGTGTAAGTCTGCAGTTTAGCATTTATAAGTCCCCTTTAAGCGCGGGTTAGGACCCACAGTCAGGCAACCCGTTTTATATCGGGGTTGCTCTGAAACAAAAGGACCACCAAAGGCCCTGGGCCGGGTGTCTCAAAGAGCTGTTTGTTGTTGGTATGAGTCAACAATCCACAAAGAGCTGTAATGCTGGTGTTTCTCATGCCACTGATTGGTCCTGGCCAGCATTACTGGGCAGTGCTGCTCAGCGCTCTTGGTGGGCGACCAGCACTCTATGTCTGGGTCACCTTTTGAAAGCTGTTGATTGTCCATTACTGCCTCCCCATGTTGCAGTCTCTGTTGTTGCCTGGCCCAGTATCCAGTGCTTTCCATCCTGATCTTCATGCTGTTGCCACGGGCTGCTACAGCAGTGTCATCTCAGCAGCTCCACTTGGGAGCATTTCCAGCTGAGCTGAGTTGGATCTTGGTACACTACTTGTTGGTGTAACATGAACTCCAGGCCCTCATTGGCAGAACAGAGCCATTTTGGATGGGAGCATTTTATTTGGGACTTCTGGGCACTGTGGACACTATCTGGGGTGAAGTAGCCAGCCACTTGTGGCCTTTGAGAACTGTTTCCCCTGTGTTTTAAATAAGCCCCATTGTTGTTTGCTGAGCCTCAGTAGACTTGCAATTGTGCACATGGGTGAGAACCCTGTTTTGCAACCTTCCCAGGCTGTGTAAGTTCATCTTTAGTTCTCACAGAAAAAAAGATAATTTTGGAGCCTTCAGTAGATTTTTACAGGCCATTAATGCTGAATCAGGGGTGTAAAGGCAGGACAGGACACAGAGCAGGTTTTCTGATCCCATGCAGACTGGGTAAAGGAGGAGTCAGAGTCCTCAATGGTTTTTTGCAGGTCTTTTATTGGGGTTCACCAGGCATATGGCAGGCAGGGGTGCTGGGGGGCCGGGAGGCTGGCAGGCTGGGAGCCTGCCCAGAGTGAGCCCAGCAAGTCCTCACTCTATCTGGGCTCCCTGGCATTCTCTGCTTCTGCTTCTTTGCTTCTCTCATCGGCTTCTTTCTCAGCTTCTCCTGGCGTCCTGGTGACGCCGCCCTTAAAAGCACAGTCTTAGCTCAGCTGAATCCCATCTACCTATGCCCACACCCTATTTCAGGTGCCCGCCATCAGGCATGCATTTAGGACAAGGATCCATCATCTATCCTGATGGCAGAAGGGCAGAAAAGCCTGACATTTTTTTTTTTTTTTTGTTTTTTTTTTTTGTTTGTTTTTTTATTTTTTATTAGATAATAAATTTTATTGTTATATTCCCCATACAATTGCAGCGCCCCCATTCTGACCCCAATCCCTCCCCTCCCGCCCCTGCCCCCCTAAAAGTGTCTCTGGTTCATAGTTTTTTGTTGATTTTGATTTTCACTTTCTTATAGTTATTCATTTTCCTGGTCCCTTATTTAAGTTTTCTAGATTCCTGCTATGAGTGAGACCATCCGGTATTTTTCTTTTTCTTTTTGGCTTATTTCGCTGAGCATGATCCCTTCCAGCGCCATCCATGTTGCTGCAAACTGCATGTGTTTATCTTTTTTGAATGCTGAGTAATATTCCATGGTATATATGTACCACATCTTCTTGATCCAGTCATCTATTTTTGGGCATTTGGGTTGTTTCCAAAGCTTAGCTATTGTAAACAGTGCTGCTATAAACATAGGGGTGCAGGTGTTCTTTGGAATTGATGTTTCTGTGTCCTTTGGGTAAATACCTAGGAGTGGAATTGCTGGATCATATGGAAGCTCTATGTTTAGTAGGTCCAGAAATCTCCACACAGCTCTCCACAGTGGTTGGACCAGTTTGCACTCCCACCAACAGTGCAGAAGAGTTCCTTTTTCTCCACACCCTCGCCAACACTTGCTGTTGCTAGTTTTTTTAATATGTGCCATTCTCACTGGTGTAAGATGGTATCTCATGGTAGTTTTGATTTGCATTTCCCTGATGACAAGTGATGTTGAACATTTTTTCATATGCCTGTTGGCCATTTGCATTTCCTCTTCAGAGAAGTTTCTTTTTAGCTCTTCTGCCCATTTTTTGACTGGATTATTTTCTTTGTTGTTGTTGAGTCTCATCAGCTCTTTGCAGATTTTTGTGATCAGTCCTTTATCATTAGTGTTGTGTGCAAAAATGTTCTCCCAGTTGGTGGGGTTTCTCTTTGTTTTTGTTATTGTCTCTTTTGCTGTGCAGAAGCTCTTTAATTTGATGTAGTCCCAGCTGTTTATCTTCGCCTTCACTATTACTGCTTTGGGTGATGTGTCTGTAAAGATGTCTTTGATGTGCAAATCACGTAGTGTTTCGCCTATATTTCCTTCTATATATTTTATGGTTTCAGGTCTTATGTCTAATTCTTTAATCCATTTTGAGTTGATTTTTGTGTATGGTGTGAGGTAGTGGTCAAGCTTCATTCTTTTGCATGTAGCGACCCAGTTTTCCCAGCACCATTTATTGAACAAACTTTCTTTGCTCCAATGCATAGTCTTTGCTCCTTTGTCAAAGATTAGTTGACCATAAATCTGTGGGTTTATTTCTGGATTTTCTATTTGATTCCATTGGTCTGTATGAGCCTGACATTTTCTTTACCCTACAAGGGGACAGACCAATTTTCTCTCTCAATATTTCCGACTGTCTCCTCTCCCTGTTCTCCATACTCAGAGTGATACCACTCATAGCCCCTCACCCCTCACACAGGTGTTCCCATTTACATATGTGCATGCCCCATGCTTTCTGAGCCCAGGTGTCCATAATTTTAGGTGTGCGACAGACTGCAGGTGCCATTTATAGATGCTAATGGCAGGAGGGCATAAAAAGCCTGATAATTTCACTTACCCTACAGCCCACAGTGGCTTGTCTTCTATTGGCCACTGTCCTTTGTGGCTATAGCCCTGCTATAACCACCCCCCTACCCCATAGTCCTGTATAGCTGTTTCAGTCGGCGATTACAGCAGGACCAGAGGTAGATGTGGCTGGCCTAGCCTCTGAGAAGCTTTCTTTCTCTGGAGGCCAGGAAAAGTGTTCCCTTCAAGTGTCTGAGAGTCTGAGTCAGTCTCTTTTCTGAGGTCAGGAACTGAGCGAGCCCTTCTGTAGGGTAAGGTAAAAAGTATCAGGCTTTTCTGCCCTCCCGCCATTAGGATAGATGACGGAACCCTGTGGTCCTGAGTGCATGCCTGATGGTGGGCACCTGGAGTAGGGTGTGGGCATAGGTAGATGGGATTCACCTGGGCTAAGACTGGCCTTTTAAGGGCGGTGTCACGGAGACGCCAGCAGGAGCAGAGAAGCTGAGAGAGAAGCAGAGCCATGAGAACAGAGAGAACGTGAGAGAAGGTTGAAGAGCCCAGAGTGAAGACTTGCTGGGGCCTGGGAGGCCTGCCAGCCTCCTGGCCCCCAAGCACCCCTGCCTGCCGTTGTACCTGGTAATCCCAATAAAAGCCTTCAAAAGCCACTGGGGGCTCCAGGACTCCTCTTTTACCCAGTCTGCTGGATCAGAAAACCTGCTCAGTGGCCCATTCCTGCCCTTACACCTTCTTAAGCACAGAGTAAGGCAGTGAGATTCTGAGTTCCAATCTGAGTCCTACACTGCCTTATATGTTCTTTCAGCCCCCTTCCCCAAATACACACACACACACACACACACACACGCACACACGCACTCTCTCTCTCTCTCTCTCTCTCTCTTACAATTTTAATTGTGCCACTTTCAATACTATGGCTCATTGATTGAGCCATAGTGCCCTTCAACTCATAGCTCGCACCTGATTGGTCCATTCAACAATCCAGGCACCAAATCCATGGGCCACTCCACTGCCTGCAGCTGGAGGAGGCCAAGCACTGGAGCTGGACCACTGGGGCCCCATAGTCCTCCCTGTAGCCCTGACCTGGGGCAGTGTGGTAGGGGAACTACTGCCACTGCTGTCACTGCTGGCCTCTGCCTGCAACCTGAGCCCCAGTGGGGCCACCGGTGGCAGATGGTAAAATGCCCACCACCTGTTACTGCTTGCAGTGCCTGCAAGCGCTGCTCTAGGACTAGGCCCCAGAGCCCTGAGGTGTGTGTGGGAGGTGCATCTGTGGTTTCAAAGTCACCCAGCCTTAAGTCAAGGTGGTTGAGTCCTGAGTAAGAGGGACTATGAGGGTGATTGAGGCCTCCTTTCCTGCTTAAAGTACCCAAATATGAGGACATCTCTGGTAGCTTCCCCTGAAAGTCTTTTTCTATGCTGTGAAATGCAGTGCTTTTGCTTTTATGCATCTCTGCGCCCCCTCAATCGAGAGTTTGTTTTTCACAACATAAAACACCTCCTTTGCTGCTCCAACCCCAGCATCAGTGGGTACCAGGAAGTCTGCACTAGCTCCCTCTCATCTTGGGGTCTCCATTCACAGGAAGGAAAGTCAAACTTTGGAAAAGAACTTCCAGGAAATTCTTGTTTTAATTGAACAAATAGATGTTCTGAAGGCATTACTTAGAGATATGCGGAATAGTCTATCCAATTACAGCTGGGAGACAGGTGGAGAGCCTACTGAGGATGAGGACCACATGGGGGTCGAGGATGAGGTAAGCCGGGGGGCAGGGGAGGTAGGATTTTCTGGCTGGAGCATATTTGCTATTTCTTTCTGATGCCACATCTCAGGCCGCTTTGAGTGGAGGAACAGGTGTTGACTGAAAAGTGGCTTGCATTTTCTTAAAAATACTCCCTTGACACTGGCTTAATTTTGCTACAGCTTGCCTCTGGGAAGCTACCTTTTCATAATTGTGTGTAATAGAAAAAATAGAAAAGACTTTGCATTGCAATATGGCATAATTCCCAAAAATAAATAAGTGATTCAGCTTTATTTTCCAGTAGAAAACAAAAGGGCAAAAGATTCAGAATGGCCATCTCTGAAAGACTATACACAAATACTTAATAGCAAAATATCTGTATTTTCTGTATTTGTGGGCCTAAAGCTGGTGTGTTTAGGGTAATCAGCAGCAGATTTAGGCCACATCATGAGACAGCTAGTGAACTTGGTTTTGTTTGTTTTCCCTTGACAAGCACTAGCTTCTTTCTTTTCTTTAATGTCTGCTCTTTGAAAGGCACAGAATTCTGATGCTGACTACCTCCTGCATCAGTTAGAACTTGAGCTGTTAATGTGCCTTTTAGAATCACAAATCTGTAATAATATATTATTAATTCAATGGATGAATAACTTCAAACATAAGCACTCATGTAAACCACCTTGATTTCCAAATATCTATGGATTCTATGGTCTTGATTATTAAACACAGACACTTAAGAGAGAGAGGACACACATCATTTGACCACCTTCAGGCCAGAGCACTAGGGGGCTTTAGAAGGGGTTTAAGGTCCACTCTTCCTCTGTGATTTTGGGAAAGTGACTGGACACAGTATAGTTTAGTTACCTCAGCAGCTGAAAAGGACAACTTTATAAACTGTGACAGTGTTATGGAAACCTGTGTCTAGTGCCTAAGTCAGCATGAAACTTGGTAAATGTTCACTGTTACTGCTTTGCAAATTTGAAATTTAGATTCAAATTAACAGCGATTGTTCAAAACTCAAGCAGTTGGCAGAGATCAATAGAAAGTTCTTTTCTTTTTTTTAAATTTGTACAGGAAATGTCAAACTTGGTAGATTATGTACTTAAAGTGTTCAGAGAAGACCAAGTCCAGATGGCTGATTATGCCCTTAAGTCAGCAGGTGAGTAAAGAAGTGAAAAGGCCAATATAGAAAGTTAACGCATTAAAAGTATCTTTACTCTCTATTTTTTAAGTAGGAAAACATGATTATCCATCAACTTGAGAAGGAAGAGAAATTAACAAATCTAGACAATAGAGACTAGAAGTATTTTCAGTTGATTGCTTTGTGAGTACAAATGTCAGAGGGCAAAAACAGCCTATCTTCATTAGCATGGACCAAAAATCACCACAAAGAGGGCTGATAAGCACAGTGAAGTTGAGCCTGTAGAAAACTGCTAAGATGTCACAAACGTATTATTTCATAATTATATTACATTCTATCAAAACCATAAAGCAAATGGTTTTCATAAAACAGACAAAAATGAACCATAGAATTCTTTTAGTCACCTTTTTAGTTGGCATTCTGATGTACCAAGATGACTGATAACCTAAAAAGTATTACTAGTGATTCAATGGAAGTGTTTAAAGGCTGTATATAATATTCTTAATAGCCAATTAAAATTCTTAAGGATCTAGGCTTTGAATCTTTGACCTGAATATTCTCTATGATGCCCCCCCTACCTGTAATAGTCTATAAACAGTAAGTGTTCAGTAAACAGTGTGAAGGGAAAGGGAACAGAAAAGATGTGAGAGGAGGAAGTAAATAGAAATTATACAATGTGATGCTAATTTAAATCAATTGAGAAAGCCAGATTTATACTAGGGGTATAAATTTGTATCTTGCATGATATAGAAAGCATTTGGATTAGAATGATTTTATGATTTTGTGTGTGGGGTGGGGCATGTGTGCTGAGAGAGAGAATGAGAACAGACTTGCCTGAATCTGAATTCCCTGAATAGGAAGCATACAGTTGACATAAAACAGACAAAAGTGGGATAGAATTCTTTTATTTACCCTTTTTAGTTGGCTTTCTGATGTCTCCTCTCTTCTTGAAAAACCCATAGTTTTTCAAATGTAGGTACCCAGGTAGCCAATATTGAATAAGGAAAAGCAGAAAATGTTATGGTTCTTCAGTAAATTTCAGTATTATCAGTTTCAGAAATTTTGTGAAACTAGACAGAGCAAAAAAAATTCTTGCAAAATGACAAAAGTGTAGTGGTAATGAAAACTACTCCTACCTGGGAGTCACGCTTTTCCCACCACTTCCTGAGTATAGGCAGTTTATCATATTCATAATTTGCCCAATAATACTTTTCCAACAATCTTATTAAAATCTAACTGATATGTTTTGAGTTAAGTTATTTTTAAAAATTATTTTATAATTTTAGGAGCCTCCATAATTGAAGCTGAAACCTCAGAAAGTTACAAAAATAATAAAGCAAAACTTTTCTGGCATGGGATTGGGTTCTTAAATTATGAAATGCCTCCAGATATTATTCTTCAGGTAATAGCTGCATTAAGAATAATTGATTTATATTTTGAATTTTGTTCCTATCTGTCATGAAAATACAAATGTCTAAAATGGTGGCAATACAAAAGTCTATAAATTTGTCACAGAACCTGAAACTGACTCCTTGCATTTTTATAATTATGAAGCTAAATTAACTATTTCACGTTTTATGGTCAATGACCTGTGACGACTATTACCGCCTATAATTTCTGCAGTAGAACATACGCATTCCATTTATTTTCTTTAAGTAGATTCTGTGGCCTTCCTTTTCTACTGAAAACTGCAGTTACTCAATACAAATTAGTTCAAGATATATACCCTCTAACTGCCAGTACTGTGCTATGTGCTATTTATACCAATGCATTCATATAAAGTCCAAATCCAACGAGAGAAATTTCCAAATAAGACTTCCACTAACACCTTAGTTTTCATCCAAAAGGCAGTAGGCATCAACAGGTAGAGTTCTACTTCACTATAATGTACATATTTGAAGATAAATTCAAATTTAGATTTACCTTCAGAGGCAAACCATGAATCTTATTTCTGTCTATAGTCTAGATCACAACACAAACATCACAATCACTACCACCACCATTATCATCACCATCAATACCACCATCATCACCTTAATTATTACCACCACAAACACCAATACCATCACCACTCTAACCACTATCACCATTTATCACCATATATAACCTCTATCACCAACTACTGCCACCACCACCATCATTAATACATTCATCACTATCACAACACCATCCTCATTACCACCACCATTATTATCTTTTCTACTACTACCTCCACCAACTCCACCACTATCCTTACTACCACTATCATCCCTATCTTCTTCACCACTGGTACTACTACTACTAAGTAGTTGCCTTTTGTTTATGGTCAAATTAGATCTGTGAAGAAAGCATTCTCATGATAAAGGATTCTGATTAACATAAGCATAAATTTCTCTGGCAGGAAAACCAAGTATAGGGGTATTTTGGATGTTTTCTTGTTTGATATGTATCACATAAGTTTCCTTCCTATAATAGGCATAAGTGAGATTTGTATTCAGTAGTTATTAGCTGACCAGTAAGGTAGGAATGGATTTCTCTAACCAGATAAGAGAGTAACTTAGTATTTTCTTTCCAGCCAGATGTCCACCCTGGAAAGTGCTGGGCCTTTCCAGGTTCCCAGGGTCATGTCCTAATAAAGCTTGCCAGGGAGATCATACCAACTGCTGTCACCATGGAGCACATCTCAGAGAAGGTGTCTCCCTCAGGAAACATCTCTAGTGCACCCAAGGAATTTTCTGTCTATGTGAGAAGCTGTCTAAATATGTTCACCGTGGGTTGTGATAGAGGGTGGTTGGCTAGGACTTAGGAATTTCTCTTCTGAAATATGCAGCTAACTGGTTGTATCACTGTGAGAAAATCAGTATTTCCTCAATCTCTGTTTTGTCATCTACAGAGTGAGGGGGTTAAAAGAGATGATTTTAATTTTATTTTTTACTTTAACAAGATATTTATGTACAATTAAAAATCAAGCATTGGGCCTCCCTGGTGACTCAGGGGTTAAAGACACAGCACTATCAAGATATCGCCAACCACTGCAACATGAGGAGCTAATCCATGTGGTGCGGTAGACCTCTCCTGTATCACCTGCTGCTCCCCTCAGCAGTGTATTTAAGTTAATCTTCCTGTGCTGCTCCCCACTCCGTCTCTGGTGAATCCTCTCACACCCCACACGTCTGGTCTACAACCCAGTTCTTGTATACATAAATAAATAAATCTTTTTTAAAAACAATCAAGCATTTACATATATTTACATATATTTCCTTCTTCTCTGATTTTTACCCCCCAGAAGCTTCTGCTTGTTACAGTTTTAGCTGCTTATTTGGGTACTTGCCCTCATGTGCTTTTGCTGTTATTTCTTAATTATTCAGTTTTGGTTATCATCTATTGACATCCTCTGATAGAAAATGAAGATAGCTTTCTTCCACAGCTCTTCCATTCTCCTGATATTGAGATATAACTCACATATCATCAACTCACCCATTTTAAGGTTATATTTCAGTGATTTTATTCATATAGTTGTGTATCTGTCTCCACAGTGATTTAGAATATTTTATACTCCCCAAAGAAACTCTGCACCTCTTAACTGTTACCTCCCAACTCCCATCCTATTCCCTTAGGCCCACAGCAATCCTAATCTGCTTCATCTCTATAGATTTTTTGGCCTATTCTGGACATTTCATAAATGGAACCATATGTGGTCTTTTGGGAATGGTTTCTTTCACTGAGTATAATGTTTTCAAGGTTCATCTATGTTCTGTCAGTATTTCCTTTACCTAAATTGTTAGATAATATTCCACCATACGGGTATACCACATTTTCTTTATCCAATCATCACTTGAGAACAATTCAGGTGTTTCCACTTTTTTAGTTTATGAATAACACTGCAATGAACATTTGTGTACAGTTATTGTGTAGACACAGGTTTTAATTTTTCTTGGATCTGACCTAGGAGGGAAATTTCTAGATCATATATGGTAAATCTTTGTTTCTATGCTGGAGGCACTGATAGATGGTACAACTTACTTTTAGTTTGTCAAAATTCCAGGTTTTCACTGTGATTGTTTCTCTGTTTTTTTAAAGATTTATTTAATTATGCATACAAGAACTGGGATACAAGCCAGAGGTGGGTGGTGAGAGGATTCATCAGAGACAGAGTAAGGAACAGAACAGGCAGACTGACTGAAATACACTGCTGAGAGGAGCAGCAGGTGAGACAGGAGAAGTCTGCTGCATCATGTGGGTAGCTCCCTGGCTGGCTGGGGATCAAATTTGTGCTGCAGAGGCTGCAGATAGCTTCACTGTGCTGTGCTTATTAACCCCTTGAGCCACCAGGGAGGTCCTTCACTGTGGTTATTGGAATATTGAACCTCATTATAATTGAATGCTGTTTTCTTGGTGTAAAATTTTTGATGTCCTTGAGAATAATCATTTCCTCATTTTTATTTAATTTTATTAGTTTTCAATATTTCTATCACTATGATATATTCCCCACCTCTTCTGCATAAGTATAAATATCTTGCCATGATATTCATTCATGTCAGATCATGTCTACATTTCTTTCTTTTTTAAGATATGACTTTGGAGCATTGTGCCCATCTGCTCCAACCTCATTGTGGCACAGCTGTAACCAGGGGTTTCATTTCCTCCTGAGAGTCAACATATCCCTAATCTATTATTATTATTATTTTAATACAAGAGTTGGGGTACAGGCCAGAGGCATGGGAGGGTGAGAGAATTCACCAGAGACAGAGCAAGGAGCAGAACAGGCAGACAACCAAAATACACTGCTGAGGGGAACAGCAGGTGAGACAGAGGAGGTCTGCCACGCCATGTGGGTAGCTCTCTGGCCAGCCGGGAATCAAACCAGTGCTGCAGAGGCCACAAACAGCTGCACAGTGCTGCGCTCAACCTGCTGCGCCACCAGGGAGGCACTAATCTATTATTTTTTTTAAATCTTTTCTCTTAATACTCTTTTGTATTTTGTTCCACCTTCTGAGGTATTTTATTGATTTATATTTTAACCTCACATTTGACTTTTTCATTTCTGTCACTGTAATTATTGGGACTTTTTCCCCTAAAAATAGTCCCTTCTCTAGAGTCTAAATTTCTTCTTTCGTGGCTGCAATACCTCCTGTTAAACCTCTGAAGATATTAATCAAAGTCTAGATTCGTTTCATGTCTTTCTATACCTCCTTGCCTTTATTCCCAAGTGTTGTCATTAGGTGCTTTTTCTCACTTGTCTAGTGATGCTTATCTGTCCCATTAATGAGCTAAAAAATCCAAAGTTGTCGGAAAACTCTTTGCACATGGTGGAACATGAAGATGGGACCATTTCCTCTGGAGATGCCAGAGTACTGTATCCAGCAAGCTTCTCCTAGGATTGTCCTGCAATCTTGTTCCCAGGAGGCCTCAGCTTTGCTGACCACATAGTAGGGGCTGCTGGGAGAATTTGTTTATGGACTGCTATTCAGTGCTTGGACTATACTTTAAGCTCCAATTTTTGTTGACTGCTCCTGTGGTCAGCCATGCTAGAACTGAAGAAAGAAAGTAATTCTTTGCTGGGCCAGGGCAGGGGTGATGACTGGCTTAGGCCTGTGAAACGCCCTTCCCCTGCCTTTCTCCACCTTTCCTTCCCCTATTCATCTATCTACATATCTATGTATGTAAGTATGTACATATCTCTCAATCAGTCGATCCCTGTCACCTATAAATATACCTGTCCATGGCTCTGTGATCAGCTTGCCTCTTTTCTCACAGCCCATGAGTTAAACACCTTTTGGTTGTATAGGGCAATTCTGGCATCAGGCACAACACTGTACACCTGGTTGATTCAAAAAGATGTCTAGAGAATAGTTGCTACTTGAACAGACAATTGTCTTCATTTATTTTAACCGAGTGTTCATTAACTTAATATCTGTTGCTTTCTTTATAGGGTATCTTGAAACAATGTGAAGGAGAAGAAATTTTCCTAGGTCAGTTTATATATAACAAAAAAGGAATCACGGTTCAAACATTTACAATCCAGGTAATGAAAACACTGGCTAGGATGAGTTCTTGTGAAGGGTTTGTTGGGGTTGCTTAATGCAAATTAGTATGTGAGGATAATTATCAGAAAAGTATGAGTTAAGCAAGGTTTATCTGAACTTCCATTCTTGGCTCCAAGTGCTTATGTGCATTTTAATGTGAAAACGGGCAAATACCAAAGCACTTTCTAAGTCCAATCCATTTGACTGAGAAAGTCTTTATCTTACTTACTCTAGCCTCATGATTCTATTAGGTTAGCTACCATCTCACCTTCCTTGAGTAAAGGGGGGTTTATGAGATGTTGGGAGGCAGAGGGAAAGTCAGAGAAAGAGGTAATAAATATTAAATATTAGATAATGAGAGCAAAACTTTCCAATTCATATCAACTAGTAACACAGAACCCTTCAAAAGTCACTAAAGTACACCCCATGTACAAACAAATGTTTTATGATACTGTGTGGTCAATGGTGAGGAAAACCTAAGTTGAAAATAACCTATGTGTTAGCCATGAATGTACTTGTAGAGTTTCTCGTTTGATTGTATGGCCATCCCTCCCCGCTCTCCCTCCCTGGCACAGCAAACTATAAAAGCACTGTTGTGCTTGTCAGTGGCAGTAAGAGGCACTTGGGTGTCTAGACCAACATACCATCTTCCTCCCCCCATTTGTCTTTTTAGGAGCTATTTGTATTGTACTTGAAAATACTTGTGTTAGGAAGGAAAGAGTTTTAATCCTCCTTTGTGCTTTGAGAGGGATTTCTTTGCAAAGGCACTAATTTTATCTTTTCTTTATTTTCAGCATGAAGTTTCTGAATCTTTAGTATGTGTGAAACTTAAAATCCTCAGCAACTGGGGACACCCGAAGTATACCTGTTTATATAGATTCAGGGTCCATGGAACCCCAGGAGATCATACCTAGAACTGTTGCAGAAAGCCATGATCTCAGGTCCAGAAAATCCAAAGATTCTTATTCCCTCATATTCACCACACTCATAAGAATAAAAATTGGGAAAGGGAGGGAAACCTAAAAATGGTTCATACTTGCCAATAAAATGTTAATGAATTTTATTAATAAAATATGAAATTCAATCTTGTGATAATTTAGTTTTTGAGGATGAATCATACTGTTGGAGCATTGAAAGTGAATTTGTATTGAGGAAAAGATTTGTTATTACTCAAAAGTCTTTCTCATAATAGCATCTTTGCCTTCACTTATTCATTCATCTGCATCAGACACAAATACCTGTTGTTGCTTAACACTGATCTGGAGGCAATAATGAATGCAATAGATACATGAAGACTTTAGAGGTGAAAATTAGTGAAGTCTGACCATGATGATTTGCAGATGATTTGATAAAATCCTTGAAATACAAGAATGTCAATTAAGAAACTCATTATGGACAAGGGAGAAACTACAGTAAGCTGGTGGATATAAATTTACCACATAAATCAACATCATTCATAAGCACAAAGAATGTTCAGAAGATATAATTTAAAAAAGTCATATCAAAGATAAAAACTTCAGATAAAATAATAAATTTATCCATCTGGGTGAAGAAACTTTTGAACATCAGTGGACGACTAGAAGAAGGCTTCAATAAATAAAAGGACATACCTTATCGTGGGTAAAGAAAATTCAATTATTCTTAAGCCAATTCTCCCTGAAGTCAGTTTTCCCCAAATAAATCTATAATTCAATTTAATCACAATTAAAAATTAGAAAAAATTGTGGTATTTATGAGGCAATTATGGGATATTAAGGATTTATTTTTAAAAGTGATATTTAGGAGCTTATGTTATAATGGTATTTTGACTATTACAAAAAATTCATATCACTTAAATTTACATATTTAAATATTAAATGATGAAGTGATAGACCTGGGATATGCTTCAAAATAATTGAAAGGAGGAACTGGATGGGAAGATTGATGGAGGATGACAAGGAATGATCATCGAAGTTGGGGACTGGTCCATGAAGAAAAGCTCCCTTACACTGTTGTATGTGTTTTGCATTTTCAATATTAGAATTTTGTATTTAAAACATATACATAAAAAATCAAAGGATTAAATTTTAAGCCAAGTTAATTCTAAAACTATTATGGAAACAAAAACTTAGCAGGAAGCCAGGAAACCTCTAAAAAAAGACAATCAACAAAGGGAAATAGCTCCATGAGACAGGTATGAAACAAAAACTGTTTGGTACTGAACTGATAGGCCAATGGAACAGACAAAAGTTTGCTTATTAGGTAGCCAGAGAGAGATTTACATCTCTGTGAGGAAGTAGTATATGATGAAAGTGTGTCTCAAAAGGGACAAAATCTAATCCAAAATTGCACCCATATTTTCACATGCTTTACAAACAGCATGATTAATTCTAAATGGAGTGAAGGATTTTTTTTTAAAAAGATTTATCTATCTATTCATACAAGCACTGGGTACAGTCAGAAACGCGGGAGGGTGAGAGAATTCACCAGAGCCAGAGCGGGAAACAGAACAGGCAGAAGAACCGAAGTACACTGCTGAGGGGAGCAGCAGGCGGCAGAAGAAGTTGGAGGCCAGTCCGAGGGCAGCCTTGCCAACCACTGCGCGACCAGGAGAGGCCCTGGAGTGAAGAATTTAAAGTAGGTAATGAAACCATAGAAAAAAAAAACAACTTGGGCTAGTTCCTGCATGGTATTGAATAGGAAGACCCTTCTAAATAAGACTTAAACTTCAGAAATTATGAAAGAAAAATAAATTAACAATATAAAAATAAAACCTGGGGCTTCCCTGGTGGCGCAAAGGGTTAAATCTAAGTACAATGAAGCTATCTAGCCACTGCAGTACCCACTTCCATCCCCAGCCCCCAAGCTAACCCACATGACCCAATAGAGCTCTCCCCTCTTGCCCACTGCTCCCCTCAGCAGTGTATTTCAGTCAATCTGCCTGTTCTGCTTCCCACTCTGTCTCTGGTGAATCCTCTCACAGTCACACTCCCACACCTCTGGCCTACCCCCTAGTTTGTGGTTGCATAAATAAAATAAATCTTAAAAAAAATAAAGGGCCTCCCTGGTGGCACAAGGGGTTAAGCACCGCAGCACTATGAAGCAATCCGCAGCCTCTGCAGCACGAGTTTGATCCCCCGCTGTCCAGAGAGCAATGCACATGGTGCAGCTGACCTCTCCTGATTCACCTGCTGCTCCCCTCAGCAGTGTGTTTCAGTCAGTCTGCCTGTTCTGTTCCCCACTCTGTCTCTGGTGAATGCTCTCAGCCCCCTCACCTCTGGCCTGTACCTCAGTTCTTGTATGCATAAAAATAAGTCTTTTTTTTAAAAAGTTTTACTTTCAGCAGTTTTTTCGGTATTGACACTAGATCTTTCAGGTTTACTGTTTGCATCTGTTATTCAATAATTCCTATAGATGTCAATTACTTTAATTGTATAAAACTTGTTTCTTTATCGTTTGTGATAGTTATCGGTCTGTCTTTTAACCCCGTTGCAATAACTTTGCTGAAATACTGACACATTAATCAAACATTTCTAATTATAAACAGATGTCACAAAGTTCTTTTAAAAGGTGAATTCTAAGAACCGCTTGGAACTTCATCACTAAAAGCAGATGTTGCCCTCATCCAGGGGCGTGACACGGAACCCCAGCTACCCGGCGCGTGACCCAGAACTTGACCTCCTCGTGGGGCTTTGTTCTGCACCCCACTTCCCAGCGCCGACTCTGGGCCACACCTCCTCTCTGGGCCTCGTCCTGGATCCGCATCCCCCAGGGCGTGACAGACAGCCCGTAAGCGCTAGCACCGCGGAACCAATCGATGCGTCGAGCGTTTCCGGCGGGACACTTAAAGAGTGACACTCGCTCTGGGGCTCGCGGACGCTCCGCTACCCGGTGTCGCTATGAAGTTTCGGGCCAAGATCGTGGACACTGCTTGTCTGAACCACTTCACTCGTGAGCGGGGGCCGCGCCTGGGGGGTGTGGAGAAGACAGGGGAGGGTGGACCGGAAAGTGGGAGTGGGCCACGGGAAGATGCCGCTGGGCCCGAGGAGCTGGGGGCGTGGAAGGATAGAGCCCTGCGTGCTCGGCGGCGCGGGCCGCGCTGGGATGGGGGCCGCCAGGGCAGGGGCGCGCGGCTGGCGGGGCTGGCGCGGGGGGCGCTGGAGAACGGAGCTTGGGGTACTGGGGGTGGGGCGAGGAACTCTAGAAGGTGGGGCTGGGAGAGCTGATGCCAAAGATCGCATCTAAAACTTGATGCCAAGAACCTGCCTTTTTAAAAACCAGCGTTAGGCCTTATCCGTGGATAACTCTATTTGGCGCAAACATCCCTTATTGGCCACTTTGGTCCCTCCACTCCGGCTGTGACCAGCCCTGCTCTGACCATTGTGTTGCCCCACTCAGTGGACCCTTCTGGGCCTTAATTGACTCCCAAGCCTCAGTATCCTTATTACTATATTGATGGAGCGTAACTCAAGTATTAAAGTGGTTTGCAAAGGGATGCCAATGTTTATCCTCGGAAAATAATTTTTCTCTGAAGTTGGAACTTGTTAACCACAAGTAACACAAGTTAAGTTGGCCTCTAGGATGCTTGCCCTGCTTCTAAGTAATTCTTTACTCTAATCCCCTGCTGTAGGAGTCAGTAACATGATAGCCAAGCTTGCCAAAACCTGCACTCTGCGCATCAGTCCTGAGAAACTCAACTTCGTTCTCTCTGACAAGGTGGCCAGTGGAGGAGTGAGCATGTGGTGTGAGCTGGAGCAGGTGAGAAGAGGCTCCTGAGAGGCCGGGGGTGCCCTGAATGCCATTGGAAAGCGCACAGATGGACCCTCTTTTTTTCTTCCCTTAGGAGAACTTCTTCAGTGAATTTCAAATGGAAGGTGTTTCAGCAGAAAACAATGAGATTTATTTAGAATTGACATCAGAAAACTTATCTCGAGCCTTGAAAACTGCCCAGAACGCCAGAGCCTTGAAAATCAAGCTTACTAATAAACACTTTCCCTGTCTCACGATCTCTATAGAACTGGTGAGTAGGATAGGAAGAATTCTGAAACTTCCCAGAAGGAATAAAGTAGATGCAGGCTTAGGCTTTTGAACAGTAGTGGAAAGCTAATTAGTTTTTATTAAGATATAAGATCTGGCACATAAATATTATTTTCCTTTTGGAGTCAGTTTCTTTATATAGCATTTTGATCACATAATATTCCATTAGGATGTCAGATCCTAATGGAGTCTTTTTATATCTGCATGTCGTCATTGCTTTTAGTGATGTTGTCACCTAATCTGGAATGACACCTCATCTGCTGTTATACCTTTATTTTTTCTTAAACATTCCATTGTTTTGTTTTGTTTTTTTAAGATTTATTTATACAAGCACTGGGTACAGTCAGAAGCACAGGGGGGTGAGAGAATTTACCGGAGCCAGAGCGGGGAGCAGAGCAGGCAGAAGGACCGAAGTACACTGCTGAGGGGAGCAGCTGGGCGGCAGGAGAGGTCTGCGCACCATGTGGGACCCTCCTCCGGTGGCCGGGAGCAGCAGGGAATCGAACCGGCGCAGCAGAGGCTGCGGGCAGCTTCGCAACCCAGTGCTCAACCGTTGTGCCACTGGGGAGGCCCTGCTGTAATACCTTTAAATGACCTCTCATTCTTGAGCAAAACATTTATTTTCCATGCTACTACCAGATGAATTTAATGCACATGGCTCTCCTCAGAACACAAACATACCACAGGCTCTCGCTGCTCAAGAATGAAATCCACATGTGTGGCCCATTTTTCTTAGAGTCAAATGGGAAACTACTATCTGCTGAGTGCTTCCCTGGTTGTATCACTTTCTTTGCCAGCGACTAGACTTTGGTGATTCTGGAGCTTCCATTTGAATCTCTTTGTTTTTCACTCTTTGAAACCTTGTCTTCCTTTGGTGGGTAGCATCAGTGTCACCACTCCCTCTACCTCCTCCTTCTTTGCTGTACTCCTCCTTTATGTGGTATGTATTTTATTACTCTTATGTGTAAGTGTTGGTAATGTTCTTCAGCTTCATAACTTTTTCACATATATAACTTAACTTTCACATATAACACATAACTTTTTCATTATATATAGTTTGTACAGTTTTGTCGTTTTGTTTCCTTGCTTAATAATTCATTTATCCACAGGAACATTGGGGACCTTGTCTTATTCACCATACCTCCTAGCTCTTACTAGGACACCCAGAGCTCAATAGACATTCCATAAATATTTGTTTTGTAATCAGGCAGTTCTTGGAGCTAATCAGAGTTTTTCACATCACAATGTAAGGTTGGTGTGTTTTTTCATTTACTTAAGGAATAACAAGATAATAACATGTAATAATTTCCTAACCCAAAGTGCAGGATACTTAGTTCTATTATATGTTTTATAGAAGCCTCTGAACATATATAAACATATATACCATTGTCAGCATTTCAGTCATGCGCACACACAGCACACCAAGTGTCCTGTACACAAAGAGTGGTCTCTTGGTTCCTTCAACGTAGTGAGTTTATTTAAATCTCACTGCTTTACCCATGCTGTTCCTCCTGTTGGCACAATTTTCTCTTACCCTTATCTGCCTATGACTGGCTGCTACTCCTTATTCTGTTGTAGTCTGAAACAACGCCAAAGAGGCTTTTCCTGATGTCCCATTTAAGAACCCAAAGAATCCTCAACTGGTTTGTTTTATTTTCTGAAGAGTGTAATGATTGTATATATTATATATAGTTTGTACAGTTTTGTCGTTTTGTTTCCTTGCTTAATAATTCATTTATCCACAGGAACATTGGGGACCTTGTCTTATTCACCATACCTCCTAGCTCTTACTAGGACACCCAGAGCTCAATAGACATTCCATAAATATTTGTTGAATGCATTTTGATGGGTGAATTGAAAACAACCCACTTAGATTTGGTATTTTAGCTTTTTTTTCCCTTTCAGTTCTTTTTTTTAATATTGACATTGAAATATTTAAAATATCTTCTCTTACCAGTTATCTTTGTCAAGTAGTAGTCGCATTGTAACACACGACATCCCTGTAAAGGTTATTCCTAGAAAATTGTGGAAGGATTTACAAGAACCTACAATCCCAGCATCTGAGGTGAGTTCATCATATATTAAATGGCATGATTTAAATTTTTAGAATTTACAATTTTTTATGTGAAAAGTTCTGTTTACCTGAAAAGAAAGGGATACTCTTTTCTAAAGGATACTGAGGGGAAAAGTTTGGAATATTTGTCTTCCGTTTACATAAAACATCTTAAAGCACTCTTGCTTTAAATAGAAAAAACACTCTTTACAACTAGAGGCAAGACTGTCTTAGTAATCGCACCTAAGTAAAACTAAACAAAACTAACCTATTTTGGAGGCCCATCATATCTCTTGGGAGTTATGTCTTGGGCTCCAGTTTGAGTTTCACAGAATTTAATTTGTTCCTCATCTTGTAAGAAGCAATGTCTAGTCTGTGTATGTGTGAAAATCGACAGGCGACTTCCCTAGGCCTGGTGACAGGAGTCTCAGAGCCATCAAAAATCAATTTGATGCCAAAGGGTCTTTTGCCTTTTGGTCACAATTTCTTGAAGAAGAAATTATGGAAATAATCTTACTTTTCCTGGAAGACAGCTGCACTACTTAGAAAAAGCTGCATTGCTTCCATCACTATTAGCAACCCAGTCTGAGTACTGGTGCAGGAACTTGCTAGCCATATTTTTTCTGAGTAGGATAAGTCCCCTGAGTGGGTGTGAGCATCTCTAGAGGACAGCCTATGGTATGAGAGGCTTGGTCCCTCTGGACTCATATAGGGGAATCTCATTCCTGGAACCAGAAGAATGCCCACAGGGACCAGGTGACCAGGGTAACCAGGGTAGGTTCAGTGAAATTAACCAGGGTAGTTTCAGTGAAAAAGAAAGATTATTTTCTTTTTGTATTTTAAAATGAACTTTGTTCACACAATTGTAAACCACATGATTCCAGCTTTTAAGTATACACACATTTCAAAATAGGCAGTGAACACCTGTTAGTACTTGGCTGTATTATTTTTAATATTTCTGATATTTTCTTGTTGGTTTTCTAGGTTAGTATTTTTTTACCAAGCTTGAAAATTATGAAGAGTGTTGTGGAAAAAATGAAAAACATCAGCAATCTCCTTGTAAGTAATTTATAACTTCCTTAGAAAAGAACTCTGCCATATGTGGTTTAGACTGTGTGTCCCAGGAGTAAGTTTGCCTGGGGGAGGTGTATGTGGTTCTCTCATGTTCCCAGGTGGAGTCCAGGATAGACAGAGTCCTATCATTAAGGTGGGGACCTAGTCTATTGTTGAGCATCTGCAGCTTTACACATGCCCTTGACACCTGTTTATTGCTCCTCACTCTCCTTCATTGTGGAATGCTTTCATATTTGTCCTGACCCCTTATATTTATAATTATGGCACATTAAGAATATGTTCAGCAATTCTGGCTTTCTTACCTTACTTTTTAGACAGATATATGTTTTATATGTTAATGTGTATGTTTTAGTGAATTGCAGCAGTGAATTTGGAGTGTCCTTATCTATATGTCAGATGTGTCAGGTATCCTTAGTTTATACCTGTCTGGCTTTAAAAACAGCTCTCATGGCAAGAGTAAGGACAGTTTAGTTTTCAGTTTATTTTTATGATGATCTATTGCCCATATCATGAAATGTTGTAGTATGTGACAGTGATGGGGAAATTGTGTGGTTTATCCTTGTTCACAGGTGGGATTATCCCAAATTCTTCCTCACTCACCTCCCTTCTTTCCCACTACCACCAAAAAAAAAAAAAATCCATATGATAACTTTAAAAACTACTGTCCACCTGAAGGAGCCTAAATTTTTGTTCTTTACTATCTTCCAGGCCTCTTCTATCCCTCGGCCACACCTTTCCTTCAGAACCTCTAGACTCTTCATACTTCCTCATGATGCCAGTTTTTCAGGTTCTGTCGCTGCCATTTCATACTTGGTTTCTTTTCTGCCATCTTCCCCCTGAAAGCACCTAGCCATTCTCATGGTCGTCCTAACACCTGGACCTTCTCTCACTGTCCTTACTGTGAGACACTCTGCAGCTGGGCTGTTCTGTATAGTACTACCTGATAAATTGCCTGTGGGTATCTGTTAACCCCTGCTGAACTGCTGGCTTCTTGACAATGGAAACTATCTTCACGTCATTTCATCCCAGCCACCTGCTATAGGAACACCACTCACAGGCAGTTAGTACATATTGTATGGACCTGGAATGAAATTTAGCTTCAATAGATCTTCAGAATTGCAAAAGATTTCTAAGCCTAGAAAATGCTTATGAGCCATTTTATCTCTACAGTCGTAATTTTCTTTCACTGTATAATCTTTATAGATTTCATTTTCATCATAGCCAACATTTATTAAAGCTGTGTTGTCTGACAGTATTCTTCCACAGCTGCCTGCTGTTGATCCAGTTGTCAGCCTGGCAACTTCCTCTGGGGACATCTGGGTACCTCCAGAGAGGTACCTCAGAGGGGCCCAACAGAGAAAAGGAGGCAATTAACCCAAGGATTCATTTGTTTGTTCTTCTGTCCAATGGAAATGAGTCAGCAAAGTAGCTGAGATTGATAAAATCATCAGAGATATTTTTCTTTTCTTTGGAATGTTTAAAAAACATTTTGTGGAGTGACCTCTGCAATCTGGAACACTAAGTGGGAAGTTATCAAATGTACATAAGTTAGAGTATCCAAGTATATAATGAGATATACTTGGGTGACCAGAATTCTGTTTGTGAAGGTTACATGTGATAGACTTAAGGACTGAAGACATTGAAAATACCTACTCTTTAGAGCCTTCTATCTTGAGACCGTCAGTCCTTTCCTTCTACCTTTAATGGACTGTGTGACCCAGGGGAGGGGCTTTGCTTGTGACTCATGTAGGAGCATAAAAATCAACTTATATGGCTAGCTATCTACATTGTGTTTTAAGGCAATTCTTCATAGACTAATGTGTGTGGGCGGCCCTAGTGTCTTGTTACAGTGCAGGTTTTCATTTAGGAGCTGGGCTGGAACCTGAGACTCCAATGCTGATGAGCTTCAGGGATGCTGGTGCTGCCGGTCTTTGGACACATCAGATAGCCATTCTTTGTGATAAGAGCTGTGCTGTTTTTTTTTTTCTTTAAATATTTTCTCAGAAACGTGGACTTAGAACTTCATGGGTCAACTTAATGGTTAAAACATGGGAATCTGGGTTTATGGATGAGAAATATCATGATGGTGTGGCAAAAGTGAGTCCTTGGACCCACACAGACCTTGGGCCACTGACCTTGCTGCTCAGCTTCATAAGCCCCAGTGCTGGGTATTACCTGAAGTGGGGGTGGGGTGACACAGATATTATTACTTGTTGTCTGTTGAGAGATAATTTATGTTAAAGACCCAGTAAGATCAGCTCACTATTCCATAAATGGTTGGTAACATTAATGAAACAAGGGAAGATGTACAGTCTTATCCAGATCCTTAAGAAACAATATGTTGATGCAAGTAGTATTCTGGGTATCAGCCACAGAACAGACTTGAGGCTGATGTTCAGAGAGAGAATTGGCCATTTGTTAGCTCCCACAGGGAGATTGCTCTCGTGCCATTGCCTGCTGCTGGGTGTGCTCAGCAGAGACAGGTCTGACATTTGAATATTCACATTTTAGGAATTTGAAGAAAACCTTAAGATGTGATTAAGCCTGAAGTAAGTCTAGGAGCACTGTGAGCTGCTTTCTTGAATTCATCTTTTATCAAACCATCGTTTTTCAAAAACAGCGAAAATGTACAGCTTTTGGATAATGCTTGTTTGAGCTTTATAGAGCCCAGGGATAGCTCAGAATAGTCACAAGGATTGTTGACATATTTTATTTCAGTGTTGCTTCTGGATTATAGGAGAGTGGGCTAAGACATATAGCAGTGTATTTCTGAGTAGTGGAAGGTTGATAATGAATACTTCTCATTCAGAGATAAAATTTCTCGTTTCTGTGGCATGTAAGTTTGGGGGCTATTTACCTACTTATTTTTTTTTTATTTAAATATTTTATTTTATATAATTCTTACATCTTTTTTCATCTTTGCACAATGTATGCATTTTCATCTATTTTTCTACTTAAAGTGAAGAACTTCAGAAACCAGAGCTGACCTGAGTCAACAAAATTTTTTGCTTTTGTTTGTAGAACTCTGAGAAATAATCAGAGTTCACCAATTTGAAGAACCAGAAGAATGGATAATACTAAATTGTATTCACTAGGTATAGACAGACTTTGCCTCAGCAGAGCAGGGGTCCCCCATACTCTCACCTGGCTCATCGCTTCACTGTACCTGTGCCAGGCACTGGCAGAATGAGACCACTGTCTTTATCTTGGTAGTTGCTAGGTGGCAGTCTTGTTAAATATTGGTTGAGCAAACGTGACTTGCAAACTGCTTTCCAAAGACCTGACAGGCTTTTAGGAAATGGGCAGATGTCAGTGTCAGAAAGATAATGTGTCATGGGCAGATTAGGGAAATCTTAAGCCCTGTGGTGGCATTTGTGTTTCCCTATGGACTTCATTTCTTGATTCTGTCCAGTTAACAAAACCCATGTATTGGTGTGGTTGAGGGTGGAGTGAGAAGACTCCTTTGTGATCTGTGGAGAAGTCAAAGGCATTGGGAGAGCGGAGGAGATAGGAGGACATGTAGAAATTTGGGGATTGCAAGAGGTATCACTGTGCAGACAGTGCACCAGCAATGTGGCATCATAGCCTGAGAAATTCTGGATTCCTGAAAGTGTTTCTAGACCTTCGTAATTCAGAAAACACATTTTCCAACATCTGAGTTTATTTTTTATTTATTTTTTTGAAAGATTTTTATTTATTTATCCATGCAAGCACTGGGTACAGTCAGAAGTGCGGGAGGGTGAGAGAATTCACCAGAGCATGAGCGGGGAACAGAACAGGCAGACTGAAGAAACATGTTGCTGAGGGGAGCAGCAGGTGCAGCAGGAGAGGTCTGCGCACCATGTGGGACCCTTGCCGGAGGCCTGGGATGAAACAGGCGCTGCAGAGGCTGCGGGCAGCTTCGCAGCCCAGCGCTCAACTGCTGTGCCACCATGGGAGGCCCTGAGTTTATTTTTTAAATAAAGGTTTTTGTTCTTAAAGTCTAAAGGCTTTATATTTATAACTAACTTTGTAGTTATGATACGGTTTTGGTAACAAGCATATTGATAAATTCCACATTTTCTTTCCCATTTTTCTCTTATTTTGTCGTAGTCACATTATGTCTATTTTGTCAGAGCATAAAATAATTATAAATTAATTCTGTCCCTGTAACTCCCACCACTCAGTTTTGAATTTCACACATGTCTTCTACAACTCACCCTCTAACAGTTCACTCAGGAAGTATTTACAGGAATAATATTTCAGTAGTTTTCAAGAAAGTGTTTGAAATGTCGCTTTGGCTTTCTTTCCTTGTGCCCCATTACCTTTTGGTATGGAGTGTTTGTGTCTAAGAATAGCTGTCATTCTGAGTCTGTTTCACTTAGAAATAGCTTGAATTTATTAAAGGGAGGGAGGCTTGAATTTACCCATGGGATTTTTCTTTTTGAAATCTAGATTGGACATTGCAGTCAGAAAGGTGTACATTGTGACCTTTTTATATTTAGGTCCATATCTGCATGGGGCACAGTCTTAGAATGCTGGTTGCTAGCTTGTCTTTATTTCCAATGTTATGGTTTTCTGGAACTGCTAGTAGACGTGAATCTTTCTCACTATCTTGTTTTTTTCTTTCTGACCCTTTTTATCTCTTTGTTTTTCACTTTTTGGTCATTTTCTCTTACTGTACTCTGTATAGTTGTCTTTTGTTCTTCTAGTTTAGTTTCCATTTCTGAATTTTTCCTTATATTTTTAATTGCTTCCTGACCTTATTAGCTCTCTTTTTATAGCTGCATACTGTCTTTTTATCTCATTTCTGAGCTTCCCTAACTTTGATTCATACTATTCTTTCAGAGCTGCTTTTCTTAATTTTTCCTAGTTCTTTTTGAGATGTTACACTTGGCATCTGTTTTATGCAGTGCCTTCACACTTCTAAGTGTGCTATGTATGTATATAAAGGTATTTCTCTCATTCTTTTTTTTTCTCCCCAGAATCTCTTAGTTTGGGATTTGACCAGAATCCTGTTGTTATAGAAGGTTCTTCTAAGTCTTTTAGGAGCGTCCATTTTAAGTGTGGAAGTAAACCAGGGTAGTTTTCTACCTTCTTAACTCCAGGTTCTCAATTCCCTTGTAATCACAAAATACTAAAAGCTACCTCTCCTACTTTTCTGAGCCCTCTCCTCTCTCCTTCTCTTATAAACCCATGTCACATCCTGTTTGATTTGAACTTTTGTGTCTTCCCCTCCTTTCTCAGTACAGGTTCTCCTGTGAGGAGCTCCTTTTGGGTCCTCCACTACCCCAGTTGCCCAGTCTCCCAGCAGAGCTCCCCTCCCCCATTCCCCAGTTCCACCTGAGCTTTCACTCTGAGGGGCACTTCTCCTTGGGTATTAATAGAATTCCTGAGTTCCTGGTTCCCAGACCTTGTTTCTCTGTACTGCCTGTACCACATGGGTTTTGGTGCTATTAGGAGTGTTCCGGGGTTTGTGTAGCACCTTGTCACCCTGTTTTGTGGAAGCTGATGTCTATGGATTTCTTTCTTTTCTTTTTTTAATTTTTAATTTAAAAAAAAAAAATACTTTCTTCCCTCCACCCCCTCAGGTTGAGTCCCCATAGAATTTCTTTCCCCAAGGCACGCTTGCACCATCACCACAGACTCCTGTTCTTTTCGTTTTTAAGACTATGTAAAATACTCAATTTTCAGATTATTGAAGCAAACCTAAATGGAGAATTGAACTTGAAAATAGAAACTGAACTAGTATGTGTTTCGACTCATTTTAAAGATCTTGGAAATCCTCCATTGGGTAAGTTTTGTCATGTTATATTTTGCTGTTGATAAATCATTCCAAATGACTCCCTTACTGAGTCTCTGAAAAGAAAAAGGTTGAAATTCAATACCCTGTCTTTCTTACTTGGGTAGAGAACAAATCACCAAGGTTGGAATGATCTATTGCTACCAGGTAGTGGGGAGAAGGCCTGCATGGGTACGAGGAGAGGAGACACTCTTTCCTCACCTAGAAAAATCTGGGGTCAAACTAAATAATCTCCAAGAACTTGTCCAATTCGTAAATTCATTTTTCCGCTTCTAAAGATTTCAGTTTCTCACCTGAAATGAAGTCAGAAAGGTAGATTATATTTATTTCCTCCTAGTTTCTTTAATACTTATGAAATTTCATTAGCAAATGCATAACTTTTCACACATGTTGTCTCATACAGAGTGATAAGGTACTAGGGAATCAATGAGCAGTGAGAGATGGGTGACTGACTGGATGTGTTCAAAGATGATTAGAATCTTGTGTAGAGCTCACAGTGGAGTCAGCATAGTCAGGGATTGGGGTTGGTGGGTAGGGAGGGTGCTCAGCCAGCATCTAGGCAAGGGACCAGGGACACTTGTTCCCTAACAACACTCTTGTGTTCTGAAGCAAGTATAATAGGCTCATGCCACTTTTAGAAATGTAATTTAGTACTATAAATCTTACTATAAGTGCATTATATATCATCACAGGGATTTTTGTACTGAAGAGCATACTATTACAGCAAAATAAAATCCATATGATTAATGCTTTAGTAATAGTTGTATGAAATGACATATTTTGGTAGTAAGTAGCATAGAGTGCTTTACTTGTGATACTTCACCAGCAGCCGAAAGGATGTTTTCTTTATTATTCCACTCTAGAATGAGAGACTTTGAGTTAGCTATGTATATTTTAGCTTTCAAACATATGTAAGAGTGCTAGTAGATGTAGTTTACTCTGCCCTGAAAGGATAGATGGGTCATATATCAAGTCCTTGGAAATTAGCATAGTATTTTAAGGAGCCAGGACTTAATGGTTCTTTAATGAATGATGTTTATACCTTGTGACATTTTTCCAGGATGTTAAAATCAGTAGTACTGTAAATCATATACTTAAATAAATGATCATTATGCTATCTCTTGGTTCCCTATTACATCCAAAGATGATGTATTTTAAAATGTTCATGTCATTTTAGCCTCTGAAAGTGCTTCTCAAGATAGGAACCCAGAACAAATGGCTGAAGTACACATAGACATTAGGAAACTTCTACAGTTTCTTGCCGGACAACAAGTAAATCCTACAAGGGCCATATGCAGTGAGTTTGCATTTTGATTTGTTTTTCAAATTTTAAATATTTTAATCAATTCTGATTTGATCAGTTCTCATAATTTTATGCAATCTCAGAGAGGTAAAGATAAACCCAGTCACTGGGACTTAAGTTTTCTAGGGTTAGGAGGCATTTAGCTTTTGGTGTTCCTGACTTCTTGGCTTGCTGACTTGGCAGATGGGTCTGAACTGTCTGTGCCAGAGGGCAGCTGTCAAGAGGATTTGTGCTGAGTACGTGTTTGCCATGTTCATCTCCCCTCAAGTGCTCTGTCCAAACCCCCACCCAGCCTGCCCATTTTCTGAAGTTCCATATATTGGCCTCTGTGCTTCTTGCTGGCCCCCAATTTTTTTTAATTAGATATTTATTTACTTTTTAATATTTTATATATTTTTTACATCATTGTTCATTTTTAAACAATGTTTGCTTCCCCTCCCCCCCTCATGTGTAGTCCCCTAGAATTTCCTTCATCAGTGCACCCGTACACCATCACCTCAGTTCCCATGCTCCTCCCTCTCTCCCTCTGATCAATCTCCCCCTTCCTCCTCTGCAGGATGTCTCTTGACCCCCAGTTTTTAAAGGTGGCCTTTTGATTCCAGCTCGATCTACCTTCATCAGTTATATACCTGCTTTGGCACACTTCATTCATTGACCACACATGAGAAAATTCTTGCCAACCAAGATTTTTCCAAGATCCTCCTGTCTCTTTGCTACTAAGATTATAACACCTAAAAGGATCCTGTGGCTTTGTCTAGAAGAAACCCCCTTTTATGTGATAACTCCTGGCTGAGCACTCAGGCACAACAGAACAGAGCTGAGAAGTACAATGCAGGAGTATACCTAGTAGTCATCCAGTTGTCAGCATTCAGTAGAGAAGGAAAAGAAAATTCTAGATGACTGTGTCAAGGACCAACCCTTTAAAATGACAGATAAGAAGGGAAGCAGAAGAAACCAGAGAGGAGAGACCTCAGGAAAGCAGCTTGTATGTTAACACAGTGATGGATGGATAGTGCAGAAGATGGGGGGGCCAGAGTTAGGAAGGAAAAGCTAGAATGCTAGATCACTAGATGAGGGTGGAGGTGAGGGACAAGTGTCCTGCTGCATCCTGAGAAACTTTGGCATCGACTGTGCCATGGATGCCTGTAGGACTGAGAGTGGTAGAGGCCACTTCAAGGTTTAAAATCACACTTTCAAAAGCCCAGTGTTCATATCAGTCACCAGGGATCCCCTAAGAGTATATTCTTAGCTCTGGGCTGGCTCTTGAGTCTCTGATTCTAACAACCTCCTGGGTGATACCCGTTGTCCCTGTTGAGTAGCCTGAGCTAGCCCTCATGTGTGCAGATTGCAAACATGCCAAGTGGGGATTGTACATCCCTACGGATGTTCTGCTCACTCATGCCTTGAGCTGACATTGTGCTCAAAGGACAGAGGAATGTTTTCATGGACAAGGTTTGTTCCCTTGGAATGGTGACTGATGTACTCAAATGTAGCAGAGAGCAGAACCAGCAAATTGTGACTTAGCAAAAGTTGAATTCCTCATACCTTCTCTTTACTCCACCCAACCTCCTATTCTATCTGTGGTTTCTGTCTCTATGGGTGGCGTGTGCCATGTGTGGCTCTGTGTCAGGCACTGGTTGTACTCCCTGATCCCCCAGTCTCCACCAAGCACGTATGTGCTCTCCTCCTGCTCATGTGATTTTGCTGCTTCTCTGGTCCCTTTTCCCACTTTGTATTCACCAGTGACTATTCTCTGCAGCTGTGGCTCACTCTTATGGTCTGCTGTTTCTTTTTTTTTTTCTTCTTCTGAATCTATTTACTTTTAATTAATTTATTTTTAACTGAGGTAACATTGAGGCAGCCCCATCAGCTTATTATTACCACCCTAATGTATCTACCACCAACTCACCCGTACCCTGCCACCACAGACCGTTATGTCTCCCATCTTCCTTCCTGCACTCCCCTTGGTGCTTCAGTTCTATAGTCAGATATCAAGGGTTAGTTTTCCAACTTGTCTTTATCTCAGTATTTAGTTACTTTATATTCCATATATTAGTGACACCATCCGGTATTTATCTTTGTCCTTCTGACTTATTTCATTTAGCATTATCCTTTCAAGGTCCATCCATATTGCTGCAAATACCATGAGTTGTGTTTCTCCTTGGCTTCTAGCTCCAGCTGGTCTCAGCCAGGTTTTCTTCTGAGCCTTCAGGCACAGTGTGGTTGCCCCTTCACCCTCCCTTGCAGCACCTATTCCCCTAACTTGAACTGCTAGTGGACCCTGGCTGCTATGCCAGAGACACTGTTGTCACTCCTCCCTCTCCCTTGGGTCTTTGAAAAACTCAGTGGCTTCACACTTTCATTTCTTTTTAGCCTTGTGCTAATGCCCTGGAGTTCACCTTTAGTCATACACAGTGGCTGACTGAGGTCCTTGATAGGGTTGGGAGCATCTCTGAAATCACCAGGTAGGCCTACTGCAGTACTCCCTCCCACACTCTAGTATGTGACCCTCCTGTCACAGGTGGAAGGTGAAACATGAACATGGCTTTTCTCAGCACACTGAGGTTGCTTACTGGCTGGAAGCAGCTTTTCCCTGGAGGTGTTGATTTGGGTAAATGTTGCCAGGAAGTCTGCCTTATGGGTGTTCACCACAGGCTTAGAAGCTTCCCTTCCCCCTTCCTCTGTCACTGCTGGCTGTGAGTGAACTAGCCAGAACCAGGCACTTCCTTTAGCATCACTAACAGTAGAAAGCAGAGAGACCCACTCACTGCCCTCTGGAGAGCCCAAGCCCCAGGAGGAGAGAAGACCTCCAACAGGGATGACAGTGAGTGTGTTAAAATGGCCTTTATAGTAATGGCTCTTCTTCTCTCTCTAGATATTGTGAATAACAAGATTGTTCACTTTGATCTGCTCCATGAAGATGTGTCCCTGCAGTATTTCATCCCGGCCATGTCATAGCACTGCCTGGAGAGATAGTGAGGGCAATGTGTTCTAAGTCATTTGTGAGTTCTCACAGCAGCACAAATCCTGTACGTTTTACATTTTCGTCTGTAATATTCTAACTAAAAATTAATGAAAGAGTTGGGGAAATATGTCACTTGTTATTTCTTTGACTGTTTTGTCCATGTCTGTTTTGATTTCTTAAGATGCTAAAAAAAAATCACTAATTTATCTAGACTTTAATAAGCACTTTCTTATTGAACTAGAAATCCTTCTATATTTAGAATTGGCATAGGAATCAACATTTGCAAAGGTGTTGCTGTCTCCAACTCAGCACATTATATGGAAGTCCTCCCTGCAGGAGCGGACCTGGAACACTCATATTTCCTTGTGTTCACCTCTCCTTCTTCCTTGGTTGCTCAGAACATCGTGGGATATCTCTTGTGCCTGCAGTGCCTGGAACCTTGTGTGACACCCAGGACACTAAGAGTCCATTCTCAGCGCCGTGAGAGCCACCAGGTGACCTAGCTGTCAGGTTGCCACTCCTCCAATGTCTTCCTCGGCTGTGGCTCCTGGATTCTGTTCTTTATTTTCATCCTACCGTGCATGGTGCATGGACCTGTCATTCTTGGAAGAACAGCTTTGTGTTTGGAGTAGGAGCAAACAAGATCTCTCAGTGTGTGCCTCATGCAGAGACCTGCTTCTGTCTGTCATAGCAGGTGCTGCTCCTTGGGGGTCTGCTTGCTCCCCCAAGGCACTTCCACCATCATCTCTGCTATGATTAAATCTCCCTTGCCCTGTGGAGAGGCACATTATAAACATCTTCAGGTTACATGGCAAAGTTGAATAAGGCAGTTTGCTTGGAATGAAAGAAAGAAATGAGAAGTTAGCAAGAGTGAAAAGTTCTTTTATGACCTTTTCCTATTATTTGTAGAACCAATGCATTTAAGTCTTCTGGTGTTACTAATGTTCAAATGGGATGTAGATTTTGTTAAGCCAACATTTTAAAATGAGACGTCATTTTAAACTACCCCTGTTTGGCTTATAGCAAAACCAATTCCAGCTGTGGTGTTAAACTTAAAGATCATGGTACACATTGACGTGATACCTAAAGGTAGTTATATAAAACTTAAACTTCTATTAAAGAAAATGTGTTAATGACTTACCAATGTGGAAAATGTGTTACTTTTGATTATTTAGATGATGATTTTTTAATGTACAATCAATATATATTGTCTTTTGGTATAAGAGGGAAAAAAGTACTTTTTTTAATATGCTTTGTATATCTTAGTATGCATATTCTGGCCTCCTTTTGTTGGTGTCTGGTGTCATGGGCAGCCCGAGAGAGACCTGGGGCAGAACCTCTCCAGATCAGAGCAGTGCAGACATCCTGAGATGAACAGTGTGGTGGCTTTACTTGGCAGGTTAGGGAAGTGAACTAACTGCCCTAGAATACTGACTTATGATTTATCATCACCCTTCCCCTCCCACTTCTCTGCTGACTGACCTGAATAACCAATCCTACTTAAAATAGGCATTTATCATTCATTTTACAGATCTGGAGAAAAGTATTTTAGTTTTAAATCTGCTGTAGTAAAGTAGGCTTTAAGTAATACCTCATTAAAAAATGACCTTATGGATGGTTCAGAATTTTTTTTTCTGTAGCTGTGGCTAACAGGGCCTTCACAGGGAGTTAGGAAGCCATGTCAGTTTCTTATCCTTGCTGCTCAGTTTCCCGAAGCAGAGGCCTTTCAGAGCCCTGAGAGTCTGACTTCCCTCCTGGGCTCACTGGAGGTCCCTAGTAGAAACTGAGGCCTGTGGAATGCACAGTGCTGCTTTATTGAACAGCCTACTAGGACAACTTTCTGTTAAGTCAGAAAAAGCAATTTAGTCTATTTAGAGGAATCTGTATAATTTGCAAAATAAACTTGTTTCAAGACTAACGTATTTCAAAGTGTTGAGGTCTTTTAAAATAGCTCTGGATTTTAGAGTCACAGTTTCACTGGCTGCAGTCTTGTGAGACTTGGCTGTGTGGGCAGCAGTCCTGGGTGCTCACACTCGGGCCAGTATCTTTTGGAACCATTTCTGTAGCTGAGTTTGGGGCCATCCTTTGCTGGGTCCCTAATCCAGCAGCTTATGACAAATTCCCAAGTCACCCTCACTGAAGGGAGCAGCTCACCTACCATAGTGTTCAGGCCTGGCAAGGTCCCTGCTCCCGGGTCCTGGATCATGGACCTAACTTTAATTCCAGGCTGGAATTCTGATTTTGTTTCTAGGTAGTGGAGGTGTTTATTGGTATTGTGCTTGGCATTGTTGCCAAGTAAAAAGAACATTGATTTGAAGAGATGCAGTTCTGTCCATTTATATGGATTTAATGGGGTCTAAAAGGAAACTTGAGTATCTGTGGTTTTACAGCTTCTCAGTGAAGTCACTGAACCAGGAGGCACAGGATAATCTGCTAGAAGATGACTGGGGATATGCTTTCATTCCCAGACACTGTGGGTGGGAGTATCTGGATTCTACCTTTCTGGAGTCTAGTATGAAAAGTCCCAAGGCACAAAGGCTTTTGTGCCTTTTGACCCAATACTTAATGCTTGTGGGAATTTGCACAAAGATAATCAAAGATACTGTAGTACTGTTGTACTGAAAAAAGCATGAAATATCCTAAAAACTTATAGGGGATTGGTTAAATAATCTATGGCTTGCCCCAGTATTTCATGCTTTATAAATAATGTTGCAGGAAAAAAATATACTGCTCTAGTCAAATGTTTATGAGTTAAATTAAAAAGCAAACTAGATCTTAGTGTGTGCCATCTGATCTCAGTTTGGAGACGAGCAGAGTATATATGTATATATGTGTGTGTGACAGAAAAGGATTGGGGAAAGTACCAACATTTATACCTGGTTATTTTTGGATGTTTTGTTTCAAAACACTGATCTTTGTACACTTAAGCATCTTTTAAAAATTTTATAATCAACTTTGTAACAAAAAATAAATTATTTTTTAAGGAATCAAGTAATATTTATTATTTGAATGCAGTACATAACCAATTTGCAATTATGGTTTCCTCAATATTGGACTTAAGACTTTCACACATGTCCTTACTTTTGTCATGTGAAATTGTATGTTCAAAATACTGAGTGGTAACACTGCATTGTGGAGTCATTTCCTATCATACACTTAGCCTGAATGTGGCCCACTCAGTGTGCAGAACTGACCTTTGTGGTGAGGGGAGAAAGACCAGTCATTAGGTGGGCCAAGGAGGCTCTGGGAGAGACAAACTTGTCAGTTTGCTAACTACTGACCAGTTAGGGAAAACACAGACTCTGGCACCTTTCTAAATTGTGAAGTACGATTACTACAACATATGAATCCTTACATAGTGAGTCTGTACTGCTATCCAGTAACTGCCAGTAGCCCTGAGGCCAGCTTGCTTAGCACTTTCCTTCATGTGCCAGGACAGCACTGTGCCCAACAGAGTGCTGTTTAAACACTTAAATTCTGAGGAAACTCCTAACTTCCTTAGGGAGGAAATTTGGATTTTCTGGGTGGGGCCTCTTCCCTCACAGGAAACAAAATCAACAGTGATCTAAGACTTCATCTTGGGCTTTGTACTTTCCTTGGGTCTTTCACTGAGTAAATCTTGCCAAGGCGGCAGGGTGTATCGACCTTCCTCCTGACTCTTACGCCCCAGGTATGCCCCTTGGTGAGCTTCCCAATGCAGCCCTTCCTGGGGCTTTGCCAGTTTCTGAGCACGCCCTCTTGCTAAATCAGAATATCATGCTCACTGAGATTTTTGACTGCTCCTATATGACATAAATGGACCTCCCTTCATATTGGACCATCTGAAATAACAGAACTGTGGTGGCTTCAGCTCGGTGTTGTAGGGAAAGTTCTAAGGGCCTGTGCCAGCAAACATGGTGTGACAAATCACATGTTCTATATAATATTTCATAGTGTCAGTTATCTATATTGACTGATGTTTTTATTCAATGACTTTAAGGGGAAAACTCCAGATAAAAGGACAGAGAATGAAAGCAATGAAAAGCAATGATAGATGGGGCTGAGGTGATGCAAGAGTCATACACTACTCAAATTTAAAAACATGTATTTTAGAACTTAATAAATTACCCCACAGAATATGTGTTGATCTTTATTTTAATAGTTGCAGTGGAACAAGACAAATAAGATAAAAATGGTTATGTTAAATTTCCTGCTCACTATGTGGTTTTGAGAGAGAAAATTCTAATGACCAAATAAACCCTTTTATGGTGAAAAGAGATTTCCATGGTGATCATTACTTCCCTTCAGTGGAATTGCTACAGGAGGAAGGGAGGAGGTAGAGAGAGGGAGAGATTAAAAGAACCATTAATGATGCCATCCTCTAGACTCCAGAGGACCAAAGGCATTTGGGATCAACCTATCACTACATGTAGATAGGGGACTATGGATATTTAATTTTATTTTCAAATCAATGGGAAAAGTGATTTTAGAAGAGATGGATGTCATTTATTCAGTTACTTGACTTGAATAAGACAAATGTCCTGCTTTTAGTTCCAGCTGTAGCAAATGTGTTTTCTCCAACTTAGAATGTAGGTGTAAAAGTGTCCCATGATGGCTCCCCCTTACCAGAGTGCCCAGCTAATTGCATGCGGTGACAAAATTAACTGCATTTACTATGGAAGAGCTGCCTTTGAGTCTCAATAGATGAATTAGTCCATTTCCTCTGCTTAGTAACACCACCTAGGACAGTTATCTTAGAGGAAGTAGCCAGAAGCAGGTGTGAGCTGAGTAAACACTTTTTTTCTGAGAAGAGGAGTGTTTTTCAGAGGACACTCATGATTGGCTGATTATCTGAGGCGCTAACAAGGTGGGAGGCATATAGCTCTCCTTGAATGGAGAAAGGGTTGTCCCTGTGCCTTTAGGACCTGCCTGTACTCCTTTGCCTGAGCCCCCTGATTTGGGGGGCTGAACTGAAGGCGCTATGGGAACTGTCTGCATGATACTGGGGTGGTTGGTGCTAGTTCAATCCCTACCCCTGCTTTGCCTGGTGCAGCCCATTCCTGGGATCAGCTCAACGGAAGGTAAGTTAGTATTTACCAAGATCTTAGCAGTTTCCTCCTATTTTTCTCACAATTTAATAAATTACTAAAATTTGCTCAAGTACCATTTTAGGCTCTGTGTTTTGATGTTGGGGCTGCTCACTGAGGGTGGGGTAGGCTGCTAGAGGAGATTTAACATATAAAAAATGAATAAACTTATCCAAGGGACTCCAGGAGGAGTGTTGAGTTGAAAGTGGTGGTTTTGCTAAGCAAGAAGAAAATGTAAGGCACAGCAATGGTTTATCAATGAGAAAGTCACAAGGTGCTGGACTACCAGAAGCTCCATAGGTCTGAGAAAAGAGAAAGAAAATCTACTACCCATGATAAACATAATTCTAGAGTTATTTGTACTGTGGTTTATGTGTACACTGAGTTGCAAATGTAATGTTCTCCCAAACCTAAAGCTAACAGCATTTATTGATTTTTTTTTTTTCTCTCCACCAAACCACCATCTGCCTCCCACCCCATCCCCATTCACCCTTTCCCCTATGCCCTCTGGTAACCACATATTTTTTTTTTGCCATGTTAAAATATTTACTTTATTGTTTGCATGTAATTGTGGGGTTTGGGGGGCGTTGGTACTGATATTCCACAGACAAGTGGAATTTGTTTTTCACTTCTTGTTTTCACTCAACATAATTACCTCAAGCTCTATTCATTTTGTCCCAAATGTCACTTTTTCATCTTTCTTCACAGCTGTGTGACTATATGCTCCACAGTTTCTCTATCCACTCGTCTATTGAAGGGTACTTTGGTTGCCAAACCTAACACCATTTAAATGGCACCCAGTGCATCTTGAAATGCCAGGCCCAAAGAAAACATTCCTTTGCTTTCTCCATATGTGTTCTAATGCCCACACAGGACTGTTTCTGTTTTTTTTATGCTGTGAGCTGTGAGTTGAAACTTCAGATGACTGTTGCCTATTCTCAAGTGACCAGTGTTTCTTTTGGACTTTGCATGCCTTAAGCACCTTAAATCTTTCCTGAGTGCGGCAGCATTTAAGTAAACTATTACCTAAGGAATATTATTAAAAACAATAAAAAGTCTGAAGTACAGAATTTGTGATTCAAAAAATTTAAAATAAGTGGCTTTTTTTATTAAATGTAGTAAAATCAGGAAAGTGGATAGTTTGACCTTCCAGCCCCTCAGGGCTGCCATCCTGGGTTCTGTCCTTGTACACTGACTTCATACAGAGAAAGTCTCTTCTCTTGTCCTGTTCCTTTGTGAAGGTTGTAATAGGATCCTCCTCAAGTGAAGAGCTTGTAAGTAAGTGATGGTTTCTTAAGTTATTTTTAGAAGGCATCTAACTAATTTTATCCAGAAATATTTACAAAGTAGCTTGAAAACCTCCTTATGACATTGCCCACTTTGTTTTAGAGTGTCCCCATCTCTGCTTGATGGCAAGTCACTCTGTCCTCCTGCACACACAGGTCATTGGACTTGGTTCATGCTCTCTGTGCCAACGAAGTGTCAAGTCCACCCGAAGTCATGGGTGTGGGGCACAGGAATGCCATCTCTGCTGGTGCACTCCCTCAAAGGGCCACAGCGAGTCTTGAGAGTGCCATTGCTGGTGACCAGAACCACCACTTCAGGCCAGGCCAGCAGACTTTCTACCTGTGGATGTTCTGTATGTGGGCACTGAGCCCTGAAAATGTGACTAATGTGATGGAAAAACTAATTCCTAATCCTAATTTTAATTAAACTCAAGTAGCCCCTTATGGCCCTGCCAGCATGGTAGATAGTACAGAAATTTTTGCCCTTCATAAGTCACTTCTTTGCTCCTTATAAGTTAGCATCTTGGTTGGCTCAGTGGCCTTGGCAAATCTCCACCTGGTGCCACTGTCACCAGTATTTCCAGCCCCACAAGGAAGGAAAAGGCCAGAAGCAATTGCTGGCCCTCATCCATCTGACCTATGGGTGTAGCTGCCAGCTCAGGTTGGCAGGGGCCAGAAGTGGGGCTCCATATGCAACAGGAACATGTAGAGGAAACTCGGGGCTCTAGATGATTTTGTTTGCTAACTGGGTATTTGATTCCAATGTGTTCTTTCCCAGAGGCAACACTACATTTAAGAAGAGGTTATTGGTAAAACTGGAAAGTGCACATTTTCTTAAATCTCTCAGATTGATCCCCAACAAATACAGCTGGAAGGACAGCAGGGACCCTGACCTGGTAGGGAGACTGGAGACTGGAGTCAGGAGAGCATGTACAGGGCTGGTTGTTAAACCAAACAGCAGGTACAGTCAAACCTACCAGGAATTCCAGGTTCTGTTCATTCACTAGCCTATCTGTAGTTCTACAGTAAGGTTCTAGAAAATGCAGGATTCAGAAAAATTAGCCTGAGCCCGAACCCCTGACGTCTCAGCAATCACCCGGGGACCCTTCTGTGTGCTCACCTAGCAACTAGCTCATGCCAGAAAGTTGACCCAGTCTTTTTTGGTGTCACTTCATTCTTGAGTGAAATGTAATTCACAAGCAATTCTGGAGTAGAGAGAAAAATGATTTAGTTTTCTAGGTGAAACACAAAACTGAGTTTTGTAAAATCTGTTAAAATTCAAATGTTAAAAAAATTAAAATGGTGATAGAAGGGTTTATGGAAACTAAACTGCTTTAAAATATTGTACATTAAATACATTAAAGGAGACTATTGTATCCAGAGAGGTGTCAGTTGGACCCTCCTAATTTCAAAAGAGGGAGCAGGTCCTACCAGTGTGGGGAGGAGGGTGTGGGGAATAGACACAATATGTATAATGAGCAGGGCCAGCAAGTGCCCCCTTAATCCAGGGAAACTTCTGAAGGTAGCCTGTTCCTTAAGCTTTTGTCCACAGTTATGACTTTTTATTATTAGATGATTTGAAATAATTTTATTCTATTTTCTTTCTCCGAGAGGTCGTCAATTTCAGGCAGACACACAGATACCCCTTTTTAAAGTGCACTTAGTAAGAGGAGGCTTCTGAAAGTATTAGGGGAAAAAAACATTTCTGATTAGAACATATTCTCAACACTGTGTGCTGTGTCCTGGGACGAGGGGTTCCTAGCGCAGAAGCTGAAGCATAATCCTCCCACTTCACTGTCTTCTAGGGACGGCCAAAGGAAGACAGCTGGCGGACTGCAGTGGCCTCGATCCACTGGCACCAGGAAATATCTCAGTCCCCAGGACCGAGATGTCCACTGAAGACATTTATGATGACGAGGAAAGGTGAGCTGATGTCATTCCTATGGAATGGGATAATTGGTATTTTAAGCGTGCATTCAGAACTTTTTCTTTCAGAAAGAATATTCCACTTTTATTTCACTGGGGAAAAAAATGTTATGTTTTTTAAGGGCTTTGTCCAGATTAAAGAACTATATACAGGATGGAGCTCTAACCCAAATGCTGCCATCATCCTGTGGCTAGGAGAATGCCTATGACCTTGGCCTCTGTGCTGTGATGTAGTGTTAACTGAGGCAAATATGGAATCTGTCACTTCTTCCACCTTCTGCCCCCAAAGGGTGTGAACTCTGATGAGGCAGTCTGGTAGCACATGAAGCCTGAAGGTCACAGCTAGAGGAAACATCCAAGAAGGACATTCATGGGGATTCTGGGGCCCAGGAAGCTCTGGTGGGGGATCCACAGTCCTTGACCTTGGGCTTATCCCATAGTGACACCTGTAGGAGCAGGGCCCCAGGGTTCAGTAGGTTGAACTTGTGACTGGATTGTGTGCCAAGAATAGTTTGACCTGGGAAGCATTTGGTAGAACTCCTCATGGGCTGTCTTCATTCTTGAGATGTGTCCTCTACTTCTTGAAAAGTAAGGGTACCCTCAGAGTCCCTGGAATTGCCCTCTGCTATCCAGGTTCTGTTGGGTCTCTGGTGTGGAGCCCAGGAGAGAAACCTAGCTCAAGGACACCTCAGCAGATCTCAGAACTCTCTGTAAGCCTCTCTCTCCCACTCTGTGTACCAGCACACATGTTGAGGCAGCGTGACCCCTGAGCTCTGCCACTGGACTGCCTGCCAGCAGTGTGACCCCAGGGTCAGTGGGATGTTGGGGGGACCAAACTGTGCCCCACTGCTGTGAGCTCTGAGTCAGACCCCCAAAGCCTGATTATACCCCTCTCTCTAACAGGGATCCTGGTGGTCACTTATGCTCCTTAGAGCCACATTTCACAGTCCAGCTATCACAACTGTCACCTCCACAGGTCCTTATAAAGATGAAAGAAAAATCACATTCTTAATCAACGTTTGCCTTTAGCAGGTCTGCCCTGGGGGCTAACTGTGTCTGTTTGCTTACATATTGTTACTATGGTTTTATTAAAAAACCTAAAATTAGCAAAGGCAAAGAGAGTTCAGTGACCAGTAGTCTCTAGCCTACCACATTTCTTTCTGGAGATGCCTTTGTCCTTGTATCATGTCACTGTTGCTGATTTGGGCCACAGGACTTTATCCCAATTCCCCAGCTCCTGTGACTCCCACAGCCCCCGTGTTGACAGGATGTGCACGTCTCCAACATCAGCCGAAGAATTGCAAGGATTATCCCTTAGCCCTTCGAAAAGGGGGAGAAGATAAATGGAGAGGGGTCATTGGCTTTATCAGAGTTTTTTAACCTCTATATCTTTTTTGTGAATTTCTATACCTGGATTCCTTGATGCCATAATTAATGTGATTGGTATCAAGACCCTATTTCTGAAATTGGGGCCTTTGGGGATTTCCTCAGTTACATAAAGCAGATAGCGATTTATCTAGTCTGGTTTGTTGACACTGCAGAAATACAAGAGGAATTTATTGACTGTCCTGTGCCCACCATACCATAGAGTTAAGCTTTAAAACTGTGTGTGGCGGGGAAGGGGATGTTTGTGTGTATGTGTGTGATTTTTTTCGTGTATATGTGTATAGTAGTGGGAATATTGTGAATTGGAAATAAAGTTTCAGTGATAGTTAGACAGAGTTTATTAGATAAACAAACCTGAGAAGAAGGATAAAGGGCTTTTCCCTTTCTATTGGCACAGCCTTCAGGTAAGCCAGAATGGGCGTGTCCAAGTCCATGCAGGAGCTATGGAGGAAAAAGCAGTCTGAAGACACGCCCTTTCTTCTCAGGGTGCACTGTGGGCAGTAGCACTAGTGTCAGCACCCCACAGGCCCTCTCCTCCTCCCCCTCCCCCCAGTCTCACCTGGCCAGATGAAGATTTAATAGACTGAAATAGGAGGCTAACAAATGTTATGTCATATATTGGATTTGTGTGCATCTTGGTGAATGGAAATGTCCAATTCTTAAGGGTAAAATATGTGGCAAGCCTGTCCATCATGGTGTTAACCACCTGCTAGAAGCCTCCAGTTGCTTGAGGCCTCCAGTCTGTTGCTGAGGAGCAAGCCTATGCCACTGTGGGGCTCTGAGAGTTCTGAATTCTTACTGGGTCGGTGAAGATTCCATGTACAAATTCTTTGAGGTATTCTCATTAATGCATTCTGCAGAGCTACCAGAAGAAATCCTGATTCCCAGTGGGTCACCAAACCAGTGCCCAAGCACAGGGAGGTGCCAGGGCTGACACCTGCAGGCAGGTGGGCCACACGTTCCACCACCATATTGCTGGTTCTTTCCATGCAGCTTGGAGAAGGTGCAATACACTAGCTCCACTGTTACCACTAATAAATAATGCTCACAAAATCTTTACCTAATAAACAATTTAGGATAGTTAAAAAAAAAATGGGAAGAGGTTCAACAGATTTTACTCTAATAACTGTTTTTATAAATACCAAATTTGAATTTACTCTCTGTAGGTAGGAACATGGAGTCATTTGTATTCAAAATGTCATTATTCATGATAATTTGTGATCTTTTATCTCCAATCCCGTCTTCTTCCACCACATGAACCCCACTATCCATTTACTGCCAGAATGGTTTGTGTGTACATTCCCTGGCTTCTAAAACTATAAGCATCTATATCTAAAAGAATCAGCTTTTCCATGTCTTGGAGAATCTTAAGATTTATAGATTTAACTTTTGTAAATACATTGTAAAATGTTCTGGGAACACCATTGCCCCAGCCCAGCAGCAAAAGAGCAAAGACATTTGTATAGATTTGAAGTCTCTGAAGCAATGTGCAAAAATTTGCTATCTTCAGATAAACCAGCCTTTCAACCCTCATTAATGACCCAGCCACTGAATAAAGATTTCAACAGTGGACAACCAGACTTTCCATCTCCACACTGCATTCAAGAGGAAGGATTAACCCCCAGCATTTGCCTTCCTTTGGGCATAGAAAGCATCAACATATCTTTAAGTCAAAATAACTTAAGAACACAAGTCTTATCAAGAATAATTACATTTTTAACATCAGCAACTCACTGTTCCCATCTCCATAAACAAACTCAAACTTGTGTTTGTTAGAACAGTTCTCACAGAGTAAAATCTCTTGGACTGCTTCCTGAGTTGAAATCCTCCCTTTGGTTAATAAACTCTAAGTTCAACTATCATTGAGATTTTTATTTCAGTCATCACTTTGGAAATAGTGGTGGTGTAGTTGAAATCCTCCAAAGGACCTTAATGGTAGAATTCTCTAAGTAACAATGAGCAGTGTAAATGATTGGTTGTGGGCAATAAAAAGAACTAACAACTAGGAAAAAGTGAAAGATTCTTTTATTTTGCTGTCATTTAAGAATCAACACCCAGAAAAGCAATTTTCTGCTTACTTGCCTAGTTTGTTTTAAATCTGTTTGCATTTAAGGACCCTGCGGTTCCAGGGACTCCAGACTTGTTAGTTTCTTTCTTTCTTTCTTTCTTTTTTAATACAAGCACAGGGGTACAGTCAGAAGCTGGGAGGGTGAGAGAAAGGAATTGTGTTTCTTAATGTTAACCCACAAAAATGTTCCTCCATGCCAATTAACCAAAGAGAGGATGATTGCTCCATCCCCAGGGAGCTGAGTCACTCCAGGTTTCCTGAGGTCCTGTCTTTTGTTGTGGAACCCTACCCTTCAAGAAGGAAATGGAGAAAGGCCATTGGGCAAGGGTGGACAGCTCCCCCAAGGCCAGAGCTAATCCAAGATAAGTGCTCAGCCTCACCCCTGGACAGAGCAAAATGCTTTCATCCTCCTTTGCTCCACTTAAACAATTAAATGACTCAGGTGCTGGGTGGGAGGCGAATGTGTGAAATGTCAGCACAGCAGCCCTCAGCTGAGGGCACTTTAATTAATACAAGTGTTGCAATGGATGATTAACACATCTGTGAAAATGGCCTAAATCTTCTTTGTTGAACCCAGGGAAACACCTCTTGTATAAATCATCCTTTCAAACTGCACCCTCCCAAACATCATGCTATTTGGAAAGGTTTTTGAACTCTCCAGGAAAAATCCCTTTGCTATGCTGTCCTGTTCCATCTGGGAGTGCCCACCTGAGGGTTTTTTTTACACTCAACTTCAAGAAAAAAGGGAATTCCTTTTAGGAGCTTGGCTATGTGTTAGGTGTTTTATGGATGTAGCTTTTGGAGATCACCTGGGTGATGTGAGGAATGCAGAGTCTGGGAGCATAGTCTGCCAGGGTCATTTGACCCAGGGCCATACACCACAATGGGCAGAGTTAGGCTGACCCTTTCCCTAGCTTGTCATGCCCACAGATCAAGGCAGATATGTCTGATGTGTACAATTTCAAAGTTGTCCTTTTCTGTTTTTTCATGTTCTCATTCCCTGGCCTTCAGAGGAAAAATATAGTTAATGGTAGAAAAGAATAGTTTATGGTAGCAATCTTTGGAGTTATTCAATAGCTTAACAGAGTCCTTCATTTAGTGACCTTTGACGATCAAAATAGGGTTTTGTACACCCATAGTTCCCCAGTTCTTTCAATAGTGTCCTCATCTGCCCCCTGGTGGCAGCTTCCTGTATCAAACACCAGGCTTGTAAAAACAGATTTTGCTACGTGGAAGCTTTATTCAAGTTAAAATATCTGTTCTCCAGATTCCAGAGACAGCCAAGAGAGGTTTTAAAAAAATAAAGAAAAGAAATGCTTTAGGGCTAAGTGTGTTTCCCCTGGAGAGGGGAACCCAGCCTCTGAGAATGAGAGAAAATAAGGGTTAACAGTACGTAGCAGTCTTTCCTGGGGGGCATAGGGTGAGACCTCAGTTAAGGACCATTTACTTCTCTACACATGGATCTTTCAGGATTGCTGGTGGCTCAGTGGACACAGACACAGGTATCTGCAGCTCCAAGGCATGTAGGAGAGTGATCAGTAGCATCAGAGCAAAGGCCTGCCACATTAGGGAGCCCTGGGTGTACCAAGGGAGACTTGGGACTGTTCCAGCTGCATCTTGAGCTCTGGAAAGACTCCTATAGGATGCACTGGGAGGATTGGCACTGGTTCTGGATGTATACAGAAACAGTGCGAACCACTATTGCCCCTTTGCCAAGGTGCCTCATTTCCCAGGGTCTCTGCCATGTCATCTTAAAAAGTAACTGCACTTCGCTCTCCACTGTGTGGTGGAGGATATGTGGGAAAGGACTGATGGAGACCCGCTTCATGTGTGTGACCCATGCACTACCTCCCCTACAGAGTGTCAGGCACACGAGGTTGTGAAAAATTGTCCCAAAGTGGGGTTCGTGAGAGCCAATGTGAGGAGTTGGAGCAGAGGTGATGCGGTGGAAGGGGTAAAGAGAGGTCCACAATTTTAGCAAAGGCCCCTCTGCTCTCTGTATCTGATCGGTGGGAGATCTGAAGGGAGCAAAAGGGAGCCAAGAGGCTATCTTATTAGTAAGGTGGGAACTCTGCTTCAGTGCGCATTTCAAAGCAGGTCCCCAAATTGGAAAACAAAGTAAAAAAAAAAAATCACAGGAGCAACTTCCTCTTCATTGGTATGTCAGCTGTTGGGGCACAAAAGAAATCATTCCTTACTTTTCTGTGTTCTTCTAGGTTTTGGAAAAACAAACAAACAAATAATCAAACATGTTGATAAGAGAAAAAAGTCATAGAGAAGTTTACTCATAGCAGGCATACCTCCTGTTTACATGGGAGAGACCCATGTGACTTTAGATGCCACTTGTATTAGCTTAGCACAAACAAGGGAAGTTGCAGGGAAGAAAAAGTCAGCTGAGGAGCTTACTGGGGTAAATAAAGGTTCTTGTGCCTTATCTTTTGAAAATACTGCCAGTAGAGAGAAATTTACAAGTAAATATCAAAAGCAAATTTCATCAGCCTGCAGAACCCCTCCAGTGAAGTAAACCTCTTGCCAAAATCTCATATTTTGTAGTGGCAGATATTGCTACTCTACACAACCAATGTGTGCTTAATTAATTTATGAATGAAAAATGAATCTGAAGATCTATCACAGGATGGTCAGAAATAAAACTATTGTGTTTTTTTTAGTCATTCTCCATTGATTCCCACACCCGCAGGTATAGCCAGGCTGCCGGATCCCTGTCCTTGCCCAGGGAGATGCCCATCACCACTGACATCCAGGACCACTGTCTCTGTGGCCCTCCTGCTGAACGAGTGTGCATAGGTAAGGCTTTGGAAGGAGCAGTGGCTGGCTCCCCATGGGGAGGTCCCCACCGACCACCACCGTGCCAGGTGCTCAGCAAGACAACCATGCACAGGCAGTTCAATCCAGTTCTGCCCTTGGGGAGGCCATTCTCATTCAGTTTTCTCAGCGAGGGGTTAGAGAATAAACTGCCGCCCACTTGCCCCATAATTTCTGGTTGGTGACTGTCTTGAGATTTGGAACCCCTGTTTGAATCCAAAACCTGTTTCCTTACCCACTTCTCCAGGAACCCCCAAACTTGACAATGCATCACACTCACCTGGGAGACTAATGAAAACCCAGATCCCTGTCCTCACCCCCCAAATTGTTGAGACTTGGAGGGGACCCCCAAATCCAAATGCAAGGTGTCCCGCTCAAAGGGAAATGCTTTGGGGTGACTTCCTCCTTCACGGTATTTCCATTTGTAATCTTTCAAAATAAAAATCCCACATGGTTGCTTGAAATTAAATTTCCAGTGTTCCTTTAAGTTGAAATTTTAGAGTTCTCAGCTCAAGTTAATACATGATCTGAGGAACTTTAAAACACCTTTGAGACTATTTAAATGGTGTGAATGGGGGGAGGGCTGAGACATCAGTACTGAAAACTATGCAAAACTAAGGCTGATGGGGTTCTTAGGGGATGATCATGTGTATTTTATTTCTTTCATTTAGTTAATTTCTCCTTTGGTGATTTTTTAAATGGCTTAATGTAATTTTATTATTTTTAATATATTTTTTCCTGTTCAGGAACATTTTAGCTTGTGTTAGCAGGTCAGACTTCAGGAAATTTGACTACAGTAGGTTTGATAATTGATTGGTTTCAGAGAAGCAGAGTCATATTTCTTCTTCATAGACATGTCCAGTTGGGGAAATTTTTCCAAAACTATGTTGGCATGGCCAGCCTGTTATACTCACACCATGTCTGTAAAGGCTCATCAGGACCATGGCCTTAATTTTCTCCAGCTTTTATTATCATGATACATTAATATGTTAGTTTCTTGATAGTAAACAGTTGTGTTAAGTCAATATATATATTTTTAATATATGTATTTTTTAATTTATGCATAAAAAAGTGGGGTGTAGGCCAGAGTTGCAGGGGGTGAGAGGATTTACCAGAGACAGAGTGGGGAGCAGAACAGTTGAATCTACTGAAATACACTGCTGAGGGGAGCAGCAAGTGAGACAGGAGAGGTCTGCTGCGCCATGTGGGTAAGCTCCCTGTCTTGGGATCAAATTCATGCAGCAGTGGCTGGCAATAGCTTGATGGTACTGAAACTCAAACCCCTGCACAACCAGGGAGGCCCTAAGTCAATACTTAAGTCTGATTCAATATCGTACTAGAAATCAGAGGGATGTTAAAGCCCCATGTTCTTGTATATGCTGGGCTACATGTACAGGGTCCAGACCCATCCCTGAGTTGGCACAGCCCACTGTGTGCTAGCCAATTCCAGTGCCTGCTGCCCCTGGCCTGTGCAGGCCTCAGCCTGTGAGTGAAGCTGATCTAAACCAGAGACTGGGAGTTAAAGGAGCTTAGACAGAAATAGCTTTGCTTGAAACAAAACAAAGCACTCATTTTCCTTTTACCTTACCATCCCCTCCTGCTCTGGGGATCAGGGACTTTCCAGGAAGGGTCTCCCTTTGAGCTGTGTGTGTTTTGGCTGCAGAGTTAGGGCTCCAGCAAAGGCAGCTGCCCAGCTTATTGCTCACAGGCCTTGGCATAGTGCCAGGCCTCTGCATGGAACAAGGACTCAGTGGAATATTTTATTTTATTTTTAAAGATTTATTTATTTATTTATTTATACAAGCAATGGGTACAGTCACAAGCACGAGAAGGTGAGAGAATTCACCAGAGCCAGAGCAGAGAACAGAACAGGCAGACTGACGAAATACACTGCTGAGGGGATCAGTGGGCGGCAGGGGAGGTCTGCTCGCCATGTGGGACTCTCACCCTGCCTGGCAGTGGCCAGGGATTGAACCAGTGCTGCAGAGGCTGCAGGCAGCTTTGCAACCCAGCGCTCAACCACTGCGCCACCGGGGAAGCCCCAGTGGAATATTTTATTTAGCATGATTTTGGAGATTTTCAAACATCTACAGAAGTACAGAGACTAGCATCACCCTTGAGCGGGTCATCAGCTTCCACTACTGTGTGCATAGTTTTTTTTTTTTTTTTTTGTTCCTGCAGATGCAGGCAGCATGAAGCTGACTTCACTAGACCTCAGAGATGGAACTGGTGCTTTCCATGGCCATGTGCACACTGCCCCTTTGGGTGTATCCTGGCTTTTAAACTTTCGTGTCTGTTGCAAGGAAGAATTGGGATGTAGGCTGGGGGTGAAAGAATTCACTAGAGACAGAGTGGAGAACAGAAAGGGGGCATTTATTGAAATACACTGCTGAGGGGAGCAGCGGGCAAGGTTGTTTGCACCAGGGGAGGGTCTGGGGGCTCCTTTCATACATGGGCATCAGTGATTGGCTGGGATACCTGGTCTTGGGCTCATCCTGATTCACAGTCATGATTATTGGCCTAATGGTCTAGTTCCCATGGCAGCCCCACCCATGCCCCTTATCCATTCAAGCCTCCCAAACTTGCCTGCTGGACAAGGAATGGGGTCTCAGTTTTTAACCTCAGTAATGATACCATGATGGTGTCTTTATTCATATTCACCTCAGCAGGACAAAGAGCCCACCTGGCCCTTTGGTTTGTGGTTCCTTCCACTTTCACATTATCTCAGGACTGGGACACCTCACTTTCATCACTTTAGGACTTAACATTGAGTGTGAGTGCCGACAGTCATCTATCTTACATTTAAAATACTATAAAGAAGGGGGAAAGAAAAGACAAAATGCAGGACCCAGTATCCCAAGCATAAGCATATCCAAGGGCACACACACATCTTCATACCAGCCCATTAGAGAGCCAGGTGGTATTAATTGTGGTGGAGCAAACAAATTAGGGTGAGGCCAGTGGCAGAGGGGAGAAAGAATTCACTAGTGACAGAGTGGAGAATAGGAAGGGTGGATTTATTGAATACAATGCTGAGAGGAGCATCAGGTGAGACAGGAGAGGTTGTCTGCACCCCCAAAAGGGTTTGGAGCTCTTTCTATAACCTATTCACTGCTGAGAAGTCTGGTCTTGGGCGTTGACCTTTGACATACATGTGTTTGGGCCCTTCTTCCATTCCTAGTCAGGGTCTTATGTCCCATTCCCATAGCAACCTTATCAATTCCATTATCTAGTCAAACCTCCCAAACTTGTCTGCTGGGCAAGGAGTAGAGGCTTAGTTTTTAAATCTGAGTAATGATACCCCGACATTAATCTTAAGTGTGCAGGTAGTCTTTTGTTCATGCAGAATCAACTATCTCATCTTCAAGGCTCTTGAAGTCTCAGAGCCTGTTATTCCTTTTTCTCTAGAGATCCATGTGAATCATGGGCTGTTTGTGAGTACGGGGAAGCCCAGTTGTCCACCCTGCACACTGACAGGGATAGAAGAGGATGTGGAATTAAGAAGATTATGCTCCCCAACAACCTATGAGAAGGTATTCCTGATCTCAAGCCACTGCTATATCTGGGGAAATATGAATTTTCTGCAAGTGTGTGTGCAACTCAAAAAAGTCTCCTTAACTCCTTAGAGGTTTATCAAACATGTTTTCTGATCTTATGTGTTGTGTCTGTAAAGCAAGTGTAAGTTTTAAAGCTATAATTCTATTGTGACCAACCAGGATGTAGTCAGAGGATGAGGGGCAGAGGGAGCTTCAACACAGGCAAGGCTCAACCCAAGAAAGGAAATTCTACTGTTGTATGCTAACACTACCACCATTGTCTACTCCCAGAACATTTCCATTACCCTAAAAAGATGCTTTCTTATTAAGCCTCTCTTTCTGCAACATCATCCTTGGCAGCAACTAAGCTGCTTTCTGTTCTTACACATTTGATTATTCTGGTGTTAGTCTAATAAATAGCAAACAGAAATCAGAAAGACTAGAGGGGGAAAAAAAAGAAGAAAAAATTCTCAAAAATGGTTAAAGAAGTGAACAGCTACCATTAAAATAATTTTCTCTCCACCTTCATTCCAATTCTATTAAATACTGTAACAAGATGCTTTTGTAAGCTATATCTGATCTCAAGTCATTCAGTCTATTTTTGCATAAATTCATAGTGTAGAATAATCAAGAAGAATTTTTATTGGCTTGGATTGAATTTGCCATAAGGGATCCTAGATTGAGCTCTGAACATTTGGCTGCTATGGGTTTCAGAATTCTTGCCATGGCATGGTCTCACTGTACCACAACTTCAACATCTGTACCTCTGGGTAGATTTCCTCTTCTTTTCTCTGGGGTCTCCAGGCCTGCCAAACCAATGTGTTTCCCTACGTTCCTTGGAGGTGTCTGGAACCCTGCAGGCAATGTGGCAGCCTTTTATTCTCCTTGGCTATGCTCAATTTCATTGCTTCAATGAGAGCTTTAATAATTGGAAACCAATATTTTGTGACAAATGAAGATTACTGAAATTATGCAAAGATAGACCTATTGCCATAGGTAATAAAAGTACTTATTACTATTTCTCCATATGATGATGGTATCAAGGAGAAAATGCAAACACAAGTTAGTTTTGCTCACAAAAAATGCAATTTAACTTTTCTGCAGATTCAGCTAAAAGAAGAAGAAAATAATAATTTTCTTGATTGCCCTCTGGAATTGCAGGGCATGTTCTGGGGTACTCTGGGGTGAGAAATTAATTTGTGCATTTAGTTTATTTAAGCAGTCATAGCCAAAGAGGGGATCTGAACACTCTTCCACATATAGAAAGATACATTGGAGGTTTGTGTCACGAAATTGGCATTCCAGGGGTTGTAGGAAGGCTTTCTGTTGTGGCTTTTCCATAACCTGTTACAGTCCTCTTGTTAACCTGAGTCAATTTAGAATTCAAGGCTGAAGTTTTCTTTGTTTTTTACTGAAAAATTAATCTGAGTGTCCCCCATGGTATTACTTGGGACTTCAAAGGGGTTATCATAGTAGACTTTTTTAAGATCAAGTGGTACCCCTAGGTCTTCATCTGAACCAATACTCCAGACAATCACTTACCTCCTTTTCTCCCTCCTTGCTTCTTCATTCCTTCAAGTCTGCCTGTATTCCTTCTGTGACCCTTTTCTGAATCTTCATTCTGTGCTGTCATTGGTTTCCTTTCCTTTCTTCTTACTTTTTCATTTCTTGTCTCCTTTCTTTCTTCCAGTCTGGGACACCTGAACTTCCATTGTCTCTCTTCTTTGTTATAAGCACACTGGTTCTTTCTTAGAGTTTCATTTCTGCTATTTCCTCTCTAGGTACCTTCTCAGCTCCTCCTAAATCCATACTGTTTTCTCACCCTGTGAACACAATTCCAGCCTAGGTTTCCTTTCTTTTTTTGCATTATAGAAAATGCTTAGACACAACCCTGAATATCTCCCCAGAAGATAAAATTCTAAGTTGAAGATTGAAACCAGGCCCCATACAAATATCCACAGGACCTCCAATAATAACAAAATCATTGTCCATACATCAGACTTTACCAGATAACCCACATCAAGACTCAAAGAAAAATATAAGGAAGAAAAAGAACTGACTAAACTAATGGTTGAATCTATGTCTAGATCTGAATACACACAGAGATCTTTACTGAAGTAAAACCAAGCTCCTCTAAATTAGAGAAAGAAAAAATCCTGCCACATGTTCCTCAGTGGTAATGCACTTTCAGTGACCAATGCAAAGAAGGGTCCTTTGACTGGCCAACCACATGTGTGATGGCTCTGCATTGAGCACTAAGGTGTTACAGCACAAACCTGGGGGATATGAAAGGCAAGAAGTGACCTGTTTGAATCCTCACTGTATGCATAAGAACCCAGGAGAAGATCCAAAAACAGACATACAGAGAGAGAAAAAAAGGTTGCGCTTTTTATAAGGGGAATGAGAAGAGGAAGAACAGAGAAAAAGAGAGATTAATGGCCCACACTTCTTACCAGCTATGCCATCTGAGCTGAGACACCAGGGTGTAAGTCATAACTAGAAAAGGAAGAGATTAAGAATATGTATGTGTTTAGTATTTTTTTTTAAGATTTATTTATTTATACAAAAACTGGGGTGCAGGCCAGAGGCACAGGAGGGTGAGAGGATTCACCAGAGACAGAGCAGGAAACAGAAAGCCAGACTGACTGAAATACACCGCTGAGGGGAGCAGCAGGTGAGTCAGGAGAGGTCTGCCGTGCCATGTGGTATCTCCCTGGCCAGCTGGGAATCAGACCCACGTTGCAGAGGCTGCAGACAGCTGCAGACATTTCAGACAGTTGCAGAGGCTGCAGACAGCTTCACAGTGCTGCGCTCAACCTGCTGCGCCACCCAGGGAGGCCCAATATGTGTTTAGTTTGATTCCAAGCATGGGTGCTGAACTCTACCCCTAATTCCCAGTGTCTCCCCATTCAGGAAGTCAGATTCACGGCATGCTGGGAGTTGCAGACTTGATGCCTAAGATCTCATCACTCCATCAGAGATTAGGGTGAAATACATTCAGAACATTCACAGGCTTGGAGGTTGCTCCTCGTTGTTCCTTTGACATCCTCACTTTCTTTCTCTGTGCTGCCCATCAGCTTGCCTCCTTTCAAGCTCCTGGGATTCAGGCTGCCTCAGTTCAGGTTCATATATTCATCAAACTTCAGGGCCTGCTCACTTCTGGACTGACAGGTGTTGGTGTAGTCCCCTGTGCTTCCCCACGCATGGGGTCTGATGAGGGCACATAGGTCAGTGCTGCACATGGTTTTCACTTTGGTGTAACTTTCTTTCAGGGTGTTGTGGCATCTGACCTCCAGCGGTCACAGAGTAAGAAAGGGGCAGAACAGCACAGAGCTAGTTCAGTCAGTTCCTGGGGGTTGAGGTTAGGGTTATGCCCAGAAAGAGGGAAGAGGGGTCATTGGTTCCAGAGAGGGGAGAGGTTACTGGTGGGGGTAGGACTCTGCATTGTTTATTGGGTTCCAACTTATAAATTGGCTGAAATTACTTCTGCTAAAAATTATGCAAGAACCACAATGCAAGCATGGACCCTCAGTATGCAGAGGGTGGCTGCTTGTTATATACAGCCTGTATTGGAGTGCTGTCTGGGGGGGACACTGTTTATGTGAAGAAGACAATGAAGTAACAAGCTTCGGTAAAGTCTAAAATGTCCCTTCCCTTTCCTATGGCTCTTTCCTGCTGTTTTGATTCAGGAATTATGGTTTTTGTCATGTGGAAGCTGTGGTGAGACAGTCTTTGCAAACTTATTATTCCTGGTAAAAGTATCAAGGCAGTGGTCTGCTCCAGGTCAGTGCCTGTCCCCATTACTCCCTTGCTCATCAGAGGGTTGCCTAGGTCAACCCTTAGCATCATCCTTGAGTTCTTTCTTTTACTTGATCCTGCTCCCAATCCAGCACCCAATCCTGTCTGTTTGTCCTCTAGCTTCTACAGGTATCCATATTAGATCCCCTCCTCACTGCCTCCCAAGCTAACCCGGCAGTCCTGGATGCTGAATCTAAGCTAATCACCTTGAATTGGCTTGCTAAGGACTGCCAGGACTTAACACAACAGAAATGTGTTCTGTGTAATCACTTTTCCTGGACAAGATCAAGGTGTTGGCAGGGTCGCACTCCCAGAGAAGTGCTAGTAAAATTTGTTCCATGCTTCTTCCAGCTGCCAGGGCTACAGCACTCTTTTACCCAGCACACTTTCACGTTGAGACTCGACACTTGATTTCTGGCACTCTAAGGTCTATGACTACAGGGGTTGAAAATTTCTTTCAGGCAAATATAGATTATTTATGCAGCACTTGGGCTGGTTATAGTCCTGAGCTCACCCTTTCTTTCCCTGCTTTGTTCAGCACAACTAGGAGCAATCAGCCATTATCTCCTCATCCTGAGCAGAGTGATAGAAACATCCTGAGGCAGCTTGCGTCTTCTAAGTGTGTGATGAGGGGTAACCAGTCGTGATGTTTTGCATGTCTCCAACCATCACACCATGGCCTATTAGTGATCTCTTTACTATTACATATAGAGTCATCCATGCCTTTAAATCCAACCAGATTAGACAATGAATTCAGTAAGCTCTGTATTAAGATTCTTACTTCCAAAGTCTTAAAAATATAAGCTGCTATACTGATGCTTCCAAAACACAGGACAGACTCTGCCTCTTTTCTGCTCAAGCCTCTATCTCATTCAGTATGAAATTCAAAATCTTCTGCACCCCCGAAGACTCCATCTGGTCTCCACTTACGTATCTTCCCCTTGCTCTGTTGTGCCATCTGGCCTCCCTGACATTCTCTGAGAACATGAGCTCCATATGAGGAGGGAGCACGTTTCTTCTCATCCCTGATGATTCTCTAGATCCCAGAGATGCCTGGTGTATAGTAGGGGATGACTGCTATTTTGTGATTAAAATAGTTACTTCCGGGCCTCCCTGGTGACACAAGAGGTTAAGACACAACCTATGAAGCTGTCTGCAGCCTCTGCAGCATGAGTTTGTTCCCCTGGCCAGCCAGGGAGCAACCCACATGACACAGCAGGCCTCTCCTGTCTCGCCAGCTGCTCCCCTCAGCAGTGTATTTCAGTCAAACTGCTTGTTCTGTTCCCCACTCTGCCTCTGGTGAATCCTCTCACTACCCCCCAACACCTCTGGCTTGTGCCCCAGCTCTTGTGTGCATAAATAAATCTTTAAAATAAAATAAAATAAAATAGTTGCTTCCCCAAATGTCTCAGGTTTTCATAAGCAGTTCTCGTTTGTTTGTTTATTTTGTTTTTTTTTTATATTCACTCTACAGAACATTTTGAAAACAACTAGTGAAGCAGTGTCAAGAGCTGTTCATAGGAAAATACAATGTTTACCTGATCACAGTTACAAGGTCCAGAGGTATGTCAATAAACCATGACTGAAAACCACTTTTCTGGACATACACATAGTCTTACAAAGACTTGTCAGGTGCCAAAGTCAAGGCTGGTTGCTACCCAGGCTAGGGGTGGGGAGTTTTAGAAAATGTACCTCTGGTGTACAGGGAGTGGAAATGATCACATAGAGCACTTAACTTGGATGGGAAAAGAATGGCACTTTGAACCTAATTGGTAGATCACACAGTATGACCAACTTAACCAGAATGTTGGGACAAACAAGATAATGCCCTATAATACTTTGTTATAAAAAATTTGGGGACATAGTGTGCCTAATCAGAGTGAAGTAATCGGTTATTTCATGGTTATGAAACATGTGAACTTTCAAAGAATAGCATTAGATGAGTCTTGAGGACATTATGCTAAGTAGAATAAGCTACTCCCAAAAAGACTAATAGTGTATGATTCCTCTTATATGATGTATGAAGAGTAGTTACTTCCCTAGGTACAGAAAGTAGAATGGTGGATACCAGAGGCTGGGAGAGAGGAATGGAGAGCTGGTGTTCAATGAATGGAACAGTTTCAGATTGGCAGGAGGAAGCAGAATGGGGATCTGTTTCACAACAATGGGGATCTGTTTCACAACAATATAAAAATACTTAACCCTACTAAAATGTATACTTTACAGACAATCATTACATTAAAATAAGCCAAATTCAAAAAATACTTGGCCTTCTTCTAGATTCTACAATGTCATTCTATTCCTGTGATCTGGGGTTTTATTCATCCTAGAAAAAAAATAACAATTTTTCCTTTCTTTCTTCCTTAAAGGGAAAAAGATTGTCAAATGTAGACATTTCTTAGTTCTTCCTCATTATTACTGCTCTAATACCATGTTCATGGATGTAAGCAGTTCCATGATCCCAGGGCAGTTACTGGTGATGGCTCACAACTGCAATATACTCTTCAATCCTCTATGACCTACTCCAATGTACTTGGGGTGACTACTGTTCTGCTATTAACTTGTAATATCCTTCCTTTCCCCCTTCCTCCATCCTGCCATTTGTTGACTCCCACTGTACGAGGAAGAATTTGGAGATACTGAGAGTAACAAGATCCAACCCTCCCCCATTAAAGACCCCAAATCTGGCACAGGAAAATCTTGTAAGAAAAATGGACATAATGTTGAGTCTTTTAAGCTGCATGGGGTCCTTAAAGGAGCATTTGCCTTTGTGAGACATCAGACAAGCTGGGGTTGGCCTCAAGAGTCCAGCAGAGGTCTGGAGGTAGATCAAGGGAAGGAATCATCTCCGTAAACAGGAGGAAGGCAGGTAAATGAAAGAAAGTGGTCTGTCTGGGGAAAGCGAGTACATACTTGATGGTGTGCCCACCGGCCCCCTCAGCCAGGTCGTGCTCAGGTTACTATCAGTAGTCTATTACGATGCACATAGAACCAGACGCCAAGGGCAATTTCCACATCTGTGTCTACATACAACTCTGTAACCATCATTTTTTCTTTCTCATGGTTTAGTCCTTTGATTCTCCTTCGCAGTTCTGAGAATTTGTGAAAGAATTTAACAAGAAGGCAAAGCAGACATCATCCAGATCGTTATTAGATTCATGCATGAGGAAGACAACCCTGGAAATGAAAGTTTCTGGCTCTCCGAGAGGAGATGTAAAAGGGCTTTTATTGGGGTCAGTCTATCAGGCAGGCTAGAGGGGAGTCACATTCTGGGCCAGGCTATACTAGGGCATGTGCAGAAGAGCTACATGTTTCTTCATATGTCACATGTCTCATTATTATCTTAGGTCTCCATCTGGCAGGCATATCTTAGTGTGCTAATGTGACCTTGATTACTTCTCAGTCAGGGCCTTTACAAACCGGGCATGCAGGCCCTGTACATCCACCCCTTCCAGGGTATAGTGGACAATGTGTGCTAGAGCCAATGCTGTTGCCAAGATACATGATCAAGATTTGGCTCCAGGGTCCTATGTCAAAATGTAGCCATTTGTTAATCTGATAGGTCATACCAAGGCCATTAAAACAAAACGTGATGTTCCTGCCAACTATGATACAGCCCATCTGTTTGAAGTCAGTGCAAGGTAACTCCCCATTCTGCCACCTGCAACTTCAAAGCAGAAGGTCAGGTAACTCCCTGGCTAGTGAAATCAAGTATAGCTTCTTTCCATTTATTCACAGTTTAATTAACTTTGATTATTTTACTGGGCCTGGCTGAAGGAGAGCTTCAGGTACAGATCCACCATCCTTAGGTGGAGAGAAGAAAACAATGGCAGTGCCTCCTGGGTGACCTAAAACTCTCCTAAGATTGGCGTGTGCCACTTCCACCCCATGGCAAGGCCAGTGCCAGAGGGAGGGAGTATAGCAGTCCCCACTAGGAGAAGATTCAGAAGTTGGGGCCTCCAGTGCTGCCTGGGGAGGACAGGAAGTGGGGAGGGGTGGAGTCCTGGCCTGGACAGCCATTTCTGCTTTGCACTCAGGGTCAAGCGAAGGCCTCTGTGGGGTGGTGACAAGCTCAGGTTCATGTTTTGTTCTCACACAGAGCAAAAGAGGCAAGAAAACTAAGAGTGGACATGCATGTGCTCCTCTGTGTTCCCCACTGTGCTTCAGGTTGCTGCTCTAACGCTGTAGAGAGTAGATCCAGGTTGGAGAGCTTTGTAGATCAGCAAACCTAGCAGAACAGAGAGAGGCGGCACTTAGAAACCAAAGTCCAGTCTAACCTGTGATTGCAGGGACATACCTGCTCAGCCCTTTCAGGGAAATCCAGAAAAAGAAAACTCAGTAAACTCAGTGAGGACCTCTACTTCCATACATCTGATCTTATCACACACCCCCAACACACACCACCACCAGTCTCCTTGTCTTTGCTGACAGCAGTATTGGGGGAGAATGGTCTGTAGTCAGTTCCCAGACTTGTGGGCCCCTGCTGTTGCCTTCCAAAGTCCTCTTGGCTAACAATAGTCTTCCTTTTCTGGGAGGGACAGTCTGTCCACCCATCTTGGAATTTTGGTAGCTCAGCCTTTCTGGTTGTCTGATTTCCATGCAGCATACATTTCAATGTGAAATTCTTGCCTCTAGTGGATTCCATTGGGTCGATCAATACACCCTCTTGAACGCCAACTATTTGGCCCCAGCAGAAATTTACACCAGAGTAAACCAGTGAAGAATTCTATAGCTTATTTTTGAGAAATGATTTAGAACTTAATTAGTGTATCAGTAAATTTGCTCAATCAAAGACAAATTGCTGCCAAGTGGAATCAATGGTACTTGTGTACCAGTGTGAAAAAATCTCTGTGAATGAATTCTGGACCTTTAAATAAAGAAAATAAACAAGATCAGGTCTGGGGTTCCACCCTGTGCTCTTCTGTTCCCTCCCAACCCCTCTTCCTATTCCCCTCCCCACAACCCTCATTAACCCCCACCACCACCCCCTCAGCTAGCACAGTCTGTCCTCAGTCCTCCCTCCAGTAACAAAGGAGACATTGCTGGAGGAGCCAACTCTGACCTCGATACTGGGCTGCAGAAGGGTCTTCCAGAAACACAGGAAATGGAAATTTGTGAAAGACTCTGGGACAGGTGCCCCTGTCTGTCCTATGAGTCCATGTGATGCACTCCGATGCCAACACCATCTCTCTTTTTAACTCCTTTCCTTTTCTCCTGGAACTCAGATAACACATGCAGGGTATTTTGAAAGCACATTACTGCATTAAGACTAAAGGTATATAAAGAAAAAATAGGAATAAAAAATAGGAAAAACCAGGATGATGAGCAGACAGTGGTATATGTCACATTAGGAGTGGCTGGAGTAACTTAGGCTGTCCCTTCTGGGGAACATGAGGTTGAAAATGCCTGGAATTCAATTCCGACTGACATTGTGGAGAGAATGGGTGTTCCTGTGGTGTGACCTTTTCTACTTTGGTTTCTACCTTCATCATGTCCCAGTGTCAGTCATGGTGAGGGTCTTTGCAACATCAGGGTGTAAGTAGAACCAGAAGCACCAAATGCCCGAGGGAAGCACGTCCAGCTTTCCTTCTCTTTATGCCTTTTCCTTCACATGCAGAGTGCCCCAGGAGCCTTCTGTTACAATTGCCAGCTTCAGGAGCAGAGATGGCCCCAGGCCCCATGGCCAGCGGGTATGTGCAACTGAGCGAGCATCCCCTGGTCCAGTCCAGGTTGGTGTCTGACCTACATGGTGAATGTCATCAGAAAGCTGCTGGGGGTGGGGTATGGGCAGGTGGCCTCTGCTTGGTGAACCGTATTTTGAATTTCTTGTCCTTTGGACAATCTCCAGTCAGTCTGAGAGCATAGCTCAAATTTGCCTCTGCAATAAGAGGAAACATACTTAACCTTTTTTGATGTCTGAAAGAGCATTATCTCTCAACTATTAATTTTTATTTATAGCTTACCAAAAAAAATAATTTTACATTAGCTGGAGGAACTAGTCATTCTTCAAATTCCTGATAAAACAAACTTCCTAGTTCCAACTGCATCAGCTAGATACCCTTTTAACTCGTAGGCACTGAAGTATAAATCATTTCATCCTCAACATTACACCAAAACCTGGGGCCAATTTGTAATAGCCTGCCTGAATGAGGGCACCCTCAGTTGCACCAAAGCTCTTTATTAGCTGCTTCTCACTGTGGAAAAGCCCCAATGCGGACCACATCATAGCCTCTCATAACCAATATTAATTTGTAAATTCCAGTGCACCTGTCCTGCAGATGACCCCTACATCTTGAGAGCTGAGATTTCCTTCTGCACCATGAAACCACTGTGCTCCTCAGAAGACATGGAGTTGCTTCCTGAGACTGACCACACAGAGGCCACTGCCACAATGGGGGCTCCCACAGGGGGAGCCATATCTACTCAGACCTGTGGCCCTATTTCTTGTTACCTCACCTTTCTAGGCAGGTAGGCTATGCTTGGTGTGGAGGCCAGTGTCACTTCTAGTTGCTGACTTGGTAGCCCTGGCCAATGAATTGGTGATTTTCATGTCTCCCTTGTTCTCTTCAGTAGAAGCAGCAGGTATGGCCAGCGTACAACACCTCAGACAACTGGGATTGGTCATTCTTTCCCGTAAAGTCCCATGCTAGTTGATTTACTTTATTTTTCAGAGCATGAGGTATCCAGACTGAAGTTTTGTTTGATTGTGAGTATTTCAATGGGATATGCACAGCGCAGCTGTATAGGGTGGGGGGAGGTCTCTCCAGCATGGAGATCAGTCACTAAGACACTTAAAATGTTTCCACTTCCAGGAATATTTTCTCACTGCTTTGAAGTTTTCTGCCCTCTAGTTATGCTGGCCATGTTAACACCATAGGCATCATCCCTGAAATGCTTTTTGCAAACACATGTGATTAGGGAAGTCCTGTGTTATTGGAAGATGAAGGTTGAGTCATCTAAGCTATTTCCAACTCCCCAACTCATTCTCAGTATGAAGTGCTGTAAGTAGAAATGTTCACAACCAGGGGCCTCCCGGTGGCGCAGGGGGTTAAGACGCAACCGATGAAGCTCACCGCAGCCACTGCAGCACAAGTTTGATCCCCGTCCAGCCTGCTACCCCCATGGCACAGCAGACCTCTCCTGACTCTCCCGCTGCTCCCCTCACCAGTGTATTTCAGTTGATCTTCCTGTTCTGTTCCCCACTCTGTCTCCTGTGAATCCTTTTACCCCCCCATAGCTCTGGCCTGTAACCCAGTTCTTGTGTGTATAAATAAATGAATCTTTAAAACAAAACAAAAGAAAACAAAAAAAAAAAAGAAATGATCACAACCACTTCACAAAGACCGTTTTCCAAAAACATCAGAGGCAGTGGCTTTGAGGAGACATATCTTTCATATCCATTCATTCAGTGAGGAAGGAAAATATTTACATTATTACTGCAAAAATTCAGCAAGAGCAGATGTTCTCAAATTTTCGCTTACCTCAAAGTTTCTTAGGGACTTGCTGTTTCTGCCCCAGAACACAGATGAGGCCTGAGAATCTGCCTATCTCTTGAGTTCCAGATGTTGTTGGTGCTTCTAGCCCTGTGACCACACTTTAAGAACCAGTGAAAGTAAGCCAGCCTTCAGGTTCCATAAAGCTTGCTTTCAGCTGAATGGTCTCCAGAGCATTTGCATCGTCCAGGTGACATGTCCCTGGGATTTGTCAGACTGTGATTCTGAAGTGCTCCTACCTCTCTCCCCACAGCGCCACTGGCCTTCTAAGCACTCCCAGCACTCGTGGCCTCTCAGCATCCCAGCCGGGCCCCCCGCAGCCCTGTCTCCACATTCGGTGTCAGCCTGGAGCCGTCCCCATGCCGGGTCCTCCCAATGCCATGGACACTGTCATCCATCATTTCCCAGAAACTAACATCCGGGCACCTCAGAATCTGGCGTTCCGTGTGCAAATGGCTTCTGAAGTGGATCAGTGTCTGGAGATGGATTTTGGTGACAGTTTTGGGATTCAAATGAGGATCCGAAACATGTCTGAGGAAATGGCCATTACCACCTACCACCAATATAGGAAAGGTAGGGTTCGCAGTCCCTGTGTCAAGAACACAGGAAGGGAAGGCTGAGAATCATCCATCCTAAAGCTCCAGACTCACATTGTAGAAAGATATGTGGTAATAGGTTCCCTTCTGCTAAGCACCCAGGTCCCTCCCCACAGGCAACCATGCTTTCATTTCTTTTATCTTTAACACATTATGTAAGTAGTGTCATATGATCCTTTGCTTTTGTGCACAGATTGACGTGTTCTCCATATAGGGTCCTGCGTGTATACATCAGAGTTGTATTTCCAGATTCTTCAGTATAGTTGCAATATATTACATTAATTTAATGGATTGAATATATATAAGCATTTTTCAAATTAGCAGACATTGAGAAGGTTTCTAATCTTCCGGTAAGTATTACAGTGAATAGTCAAGTATATGCATTTCATGGAAGAGAAGGATGGTTGCTTCTCATACAATGTTCATTGGTAATTTGGTAGTTGTTATATTGCTCCCATGGAGGCTGCCTGGCATCTGTTCCACGAGCAGTGCAAATGTCAATATGGGAGATGAAAAGGTATATTTCTGGTGCTTTAATTTGCATCTTTGTAGGTTCTTCACGTGAAATTATCAATATTTGACCATATTTTATGAACTAAATTCTTTATGGTTCATGAAATACATGATAGGGCATTTGTATGAACTCTTTTACTAATTAGTCCTTTGTGTGTGATATAAATTTCAAATACTTTCTTTTTACGATTTATTTATTTATTTATACAAGCACTGGGTACAGTCAAGCGCGGGAGGGTGAGAGAATCCACCAGAGCCAGAGCGGGGAACAGAACAGGCAGACCGACTAAATACACTGCTGAGGGGAGCAGCGGGTGCAACAGGAGAGGTCTGCACGCCATATGGGACCCTTGCCTGGCCCAGCGGCCAGGGATCGAACGGGCTCAAACACCGCGCCACCAGGGGAGGCCCTCAAATACATTTTTGTCTCAGTTTGCCATTTGTGCTTTGGCTTTCCTTATAGTTTGTTGTTTTTTTTTTCCTTTTCACAAGTAGGCTTCATCAGATTTTTCATTTATAGTTTCTGAATTTTGTGTCATACATAGAAATACCTCAACTCAAATCTAAAATAATTCCCTCCTGATTTCTCCTACTAATTCTATAATTCTCTATTGCATATTTAAATATAAAATGCATTGAATATATATTCTGGCATAAAGTCTGAGCCATAAATAAAAAGTTTACTTTTCTCTGAATATCCACACACTTGCCTCACTGCCATTTGCTGAATGATCTCCTTTCCTTACTGAAGCGCACTCTGTCATTGTCAATTTTCAATTGCTCTTGGGATTTGCACTCTCTGTTCCATTTCATCTAGGGCAAACTCCCCTTTGTTAGTCATCTTTTCTAGAATTTTATTTATTTATTTATTTATTTTTTAATTTTATATATTTTTACATCATTTTTCATTTTTGCACAAAGTATGCATTTTCATCTTGGTTATAGTCCCCATACAATTCCCACCCCCCTTGTTTTGATCCTACTCCCTTCTCCTCCCCCATCCCCCACACCCCCTCATAATGTGTCTCTGGTTTATAGTTGCTTGTTGTTTTTGATTTTTACTTTATTATAATTAGTCTTTTTCCTGGTCCCTTATTTAGGTTTTCTAAATTCCTGCTATGAGTGAGACTATCCAGTATTTTTCTTTTTCTTTCTGGCTTATTTCGTTGAGCATGGTCCCTTACAGCTCCATCCATGTTGCTGCAAATGACATGAGATTATCTTTTTTGATTGCCAAATAATATTCCATTGTGTGTATGTACCACATCTTCTTGATCCAGTCATCGATTTTTGGGCATTTGGGTTTACCTATTGTAAATAGTGCTGCTATAAACATAGGGGTGCAGGTGCCCTTTGGAATTACTGTTTCTGTGTCATTTGGGTAAATACCTAGGAGTGGAATTACTGGATCATATGGAAGCTCCACATTTAACAGATTGAGGACTCTCCACAGAGCTCTCCGTAGAGGTTAGACCAGTTTGCACTCCCACCAGCAGTGCAGGATTGTTCCTTTTTCTCCACATCCTCACCAACATTTGTTGTTGCTAGTTTTTTTGATATGTGCCATTTTCACTGGTGTGAGATGGTATCTCGTTGTAGTTTTGATTTGCATTTCCCTGATTACAACTGATGTTGAACATTTTTTCATATGCCTGTTGGCCATTTGCATTTCCTCTTTGGAGAAGTTTCTTTTTAGCTCTTCTGCCCATTTTTTGACTGGATTATTTTCTTTGTTTTTGTTGAGTCTCATCAGCTCTTTGTAGATTTTTGTGATCAGTTCCTTATCATTAGTGTTGTGTGCAAAAATTTTCTCCCAGTTGGTGGGGTGTCCCTTTGTTTGGGTTACGTCTCTTTTGCTATGCAGAAGCTCTTCAATTTGATGTAGTCCCAGCTGTTTATCTTTGCCTTCACTATCAGTGCTTTGGGTGATATGTCTTTGCAGATGTTACTGAGGTGCATGTCATGTAGTGTTTTGCCTATATTTCCTTCTATATATTTTATGGTTTCAGGTCTTATGTTTAGTTCTTTAATCCATTTTGAGTTGTTTTTTGTGCATGGTGTGAGGTAGTAGTCAAGCTTCATTCTTTTGCATGTAGCGACCCAGTTTTCCCAGCACCGTTTATTGAACAAACTTTCTTTGCTCCATTGCATATTCTTTGCTCCTTTACCAAAGATTAGTTGACGATAAATCTGTGGGTTTATTTCTGGATTTTCTATTTGGTTCCATTGGTCTGTGTATCTGTTCTGTTCCAATACCATGTAGTTTTGATTATTATGGTTTTATAGTATAGTTTGAAGACTGGGAGTGTAATATCTCCATTCCCTTCCTTTTTTTTTTTCAGGAGTGCTTTGACTATTCAGGGTTTTGGTTGGCTCCATATGAATTTCATCAATATTTGTTCTATTTCTTTGAAGAATGTCATTGAAATTTTTATTGGAATAACATTGATTCTGTATATTGCTTTTGGTAGGATGGTCATTTTGATAATCTTAATTCTTCCAATCAATGAGCAGGGCATGTCTTTCCATTTCTTTGTGTCTTCTTCTATTTCTTTTAACAGTATTTTGTAGTTTTCTTTGTCTAGGCCCTTTTCTTCTTTTGCTAGGTTTATTCCCAAGTATTTGATATTTTTTTGTTTCAATAATAAAAGGGATGGTGTTCTTGATTTCTTCTTCAAATTTATTGTTTGTGTATAGGAAGGCTACTGATTTTTTGTGTGTTGATTTTGTATCCTGCTACTTTCCTAAATCATTGATTAGTTTGACTAGTTTTTCTGTGGAGTTTGGGGGGTTCTCTATGTGTATTATCATATCATCTGCAGACAGTGATAGTTTTACTACCTCCTTCTCTATTTGGATTCCTTGTGTGTCTTTCTCTTGTCTTATTGCTCTGGCTAGGACTTCCAGTATTATATGAAAAGCAGTGGTGAGACTGGACATCCTTGTCTTGTTCCAGATCTTAATGGAAATGCTTTCAGCTTTTCCAACTGGCTGTTGGCTTGTCATATATGGCCTTTATGATGTTGAGGTATGTTCCTTGTATAACGAGAATTTCAAGGGCCTTTTTCATAAATGGGTGTTGTACTTTGTTAAAAGCTTTCTCAGCATCTATTGATATTATCATATGTTTTTTACATTTCTTTTTTGTTAATGTTTTGGATTACATTGATTGATTTTCAGATTTTGAACCGTCTTTGCATCCCTGGAATAAATCCTACTTGGTCATGGTGAATTATCTTATGGATACATTGCTGGATTCTGTTAGCTAAAATTTTATTGAGGATGTTTGCATCAGTGTTTATTAGAGAGATTGGCCTGTAGTTTTCTTTTTTGCATTGTCCTTGTTCGGTTTTGGTATTAGTGTAATGTTGGCTTCATAGAATATGTTTGGTATTATCCCTTCCTTCTCAATTTTTTGAAAGAGCTTGTGAAGGATAGGCACAAGTTCGTTTCTAATGTTTGGTAGAATTTATTTGTAAATCCATCTGGTTCTGGACTTTTGTTTTTGGGGAGGGTTTTGATTACCATTTCAATTTCACTGCTTGTAATCAGGCTCTTTAGGTGTTCTATTTCTAATTTATCTAGCTTTGGGTGGTGGTAAAGTTGTAGGAATTTGTCCATCTCTTCTACATTGTTGAACTTGTTTACATGTAACTGTTCATAGTAGTTTCTGATTACTCTTTTGATTTCTGCTGTGTGTTGTGATTTCTCCTCTTTCATTTGTAATCCTATTTATTTGTGCTTACTCTCGTGTTTCCTTTTTGAGTCAGGCTAGCAGTTTGTCTATTTATTTTTTTGAAGAACCAACTTTTGGTTTCATTGATCTTTTGGATTTTTTTTTTTTAATTTCCATTTTGTTTATTTCTGCTTTGATTTTTATTATTTCCTTTCTTCTACTGGTTTTAGGGTATTTTTGTTGTTCTTTTACTAGTACTTTGAGTTGTGAGATTGGGTTCTTTCTTTGAGTTCTTTCTTGTTTCTTGATGTGAGCCTGTATTGCTATATATTTTCCTTTCATTACTGCTTTTGCTGCATCCCATACATTGAGGAATTTGGTATCCTCCTTGTTGTTTGACTCCAAGTATTTTTTAATTTCTTCTTTGATCTTCTTGTTAGTCCAGTGGTCTTCCAGTAGTGTGGGTTTCAATCTCCATGAGGTAGGAGGGTTCCTTGCCTTCTTTGTATGGTTTATTTCTAGTTTGATGCCTTCATGGTCAGAGAAGATGGATGGTATGATTTCAATCTGGTGTATCTGTTGATGTTTGTCTTGTGTCCCAGTATGTGATCATTCCTGGAGAATAATCCATGTGTGCTTGAGAAAAATGTGTACTCAGATTATTTTTGTGTGCAGTGTTCTATAGATGTCTGTTAAGCCCATGAGGTCTAGGTCCTTATTTAGAGCTTTAGTATCCTTACTTATTTTTTGTCTCATTGATCTATCCATTGTTGATAGTAGTGTGTTGA